AAAAAAGGATTTTATTATTGACCTCAGCAGATTTTACATTTTCAATTTTACATATGAAATACTGTGAAAAATGCTCTGTCAACATCACTTGGGAAATATTAGAAAAAGAATTCAAATTTCACTCATAATTTAGATTGAAGCTGGACTCTGTCAGTCCAGTGGTTCACATCACATCATACAGTGAAGACTCATTGGCGTCGTTCTCTGCAGAGCCTGCGGTGCGCTCCAGCGGTCAGATTTACTGTAGATTGTTCTGTTATTGTTTGGTTTGCTCACCATTTTCTGTGTCATCATAGAAAGGAAATCGCTGAAGCCGATTACGCCCGATCCTTCTTTATCAATATCAGCGATCATCTTCTTTATCTCTTCTTTCTTCGGCTCAAACCCCAGAGCTCGCATCGCAACCTGATGACAACAGTCAGACACTGGGTTAGTATGCAGTGTAACAATGGGAACCAGGAGGTGTTTTTGTGCTCATCTTTCACTTAAGAATCAAAAAATAATCTGACTTAATTTATTCAAAATTTTAGGGCTGCACGATATTTGAAAAAACTCACATTGCGATTTTTTTTTGTTTTTCTGCAATATAAAGTGATAATATAATTTCTCAAGATGACTTTAAAATTCTATCTGTAAAGAATTTCATAATTGCACATGGATTTGGATGATTTTGTAGGTGCAGAAACTATTTTAAAGCACAGATGAAAACAACAGAACAAAGATAAAAATGAACCAAGCAGCGCTTTATGGTTTTTGGTGGAGTCTGATAATATTGAGGTACAGACCTTCAGTAATTAAATATAAATCATGTCAATGTTTACATTCCAGATCATATCAATGCTGAAACTAAATATTGTGCAGCCCTACAATGTTTTACTGAAAAACATGTTGTGTGTGTGTGTGTGTTTATCTCTGTTGACTGTATATTCAGGTTAATGAAGTGATAAACATTTAATATGTTGAAAAATAAATAAATAAATAAGAGTATTGAATTTGCCCATTTCCAATCTTCAGTTTTCTGTTCTGTAAATGTATGCAAATTAGTGCATATTTAATTACATATTTCTACCCCATTTTCAAGTTCAAGTTGCTTTATTGGCATAAGAATCAGTACAGTATTGCCAAAGCACTTTAAATATGTAATATATTAAAACCATCAAAAAAATAATAATAATACAGTAGATAAGAAATAATGACAAAAAACTTTGATAAATATAACAACAACAACAACAACAACAACAACAACAATAATAATAATAATAAGTTTAAATTATTTAAATAAGATAAATGAATTTACATTAACCATTTCTTATGGTGTGTATGTATACATATTTTGCAGCTAGTCTAGATGTCAATTCATCCTCTCCGAGTACATGGTAAAGTTTTTTCTGAATCATTTAAATTGAAAAATGAATAAGTCAATGTTTCAAATTGGGGGAAAATATTTCTCTAGTCGTGGTGTATTTAGGGCAGAACAGAAGGAAGTGTGTCTCAACCTCTATTTGGTTTGTGTCACACTGTTTACATATTCTCTGTTTTTTAGGGGTCCAGGATTTTTTATGTCTGCCCTTTTCTATTTCTAGTTCATGATCACTGAGGCGATATTTTGAAAGAATGTGTTTTTCTTTTAATTGTTTAATGTTCAAAATAACCATAAGATTTCAGAAAATGTGTCATAGTATTTAGTAATAGTATTTAAGTCATAGTAATTAATAAGCTGGAAAAATTCTGATGCTCATTATTTAATGTATTATTTAATATTAAAATGACATTTCAGGATAAAATGTCAATTATGAAAGAGTAAAAATCTCTTTATAAAACTATACATGTAGAGACATTTTTAAATACTGGACATTTTGGATGAAAAACAAATCATAATTCCATTATTATGAAATAAATGACAGTGCATAACGGTCTAATAAATTAGTTAATTATTTTCCCCAACATATTATATTTATTTATTGCAAAATGTTAAATTTAAAGCATAAATTTAAAGATTTTTTCTTTTTTAAATATTTCCTAAATTATGTTTAAAAGGGCAAGGAAATGTTCACAGTATGTCTGATAATATTTTTTCTTCTGGAGAAAGTCTTATTTGTTTTATTTTGGCTAGAATAAAAGCAGTTATTAATTTTTTAAACACCATTTTAAGGTCAATATTTATTAACCCCTTTAAGCTATATATTTTTTTGATAGTCTACAGAACAAACCATCATTATACAATAACTTGCCTGATTACCCTAACCTGCCTAGTTCACCTTATTAACCTATTAAAGCCTTTAAATGCCACTTTAAGAAGTGTCTTAAAAATTATCTAGTCAAATATTATTTATTGTCATGATGGCAAAGATAAAACAAATCAATTATTAGAAATGAGTTATTAAAACTACTATATTTAGAAATGTATTGAAAAAATCTGCTCTCCATTAAACAGAAATAAACGGGGACTAATAATTCAGGGAGGCTAATAATTCAGACTTCAACTGTATACACATTTGAATGCAAAAATATTTAAATATTAAGCAATTTGACAACATTTGTAATGTTTTTGTTGCATCAAAAAGTGCACATTATAATATCAACAGAGATATCATAAATGCAAACTGATGAGGATAACTGCAAGCATCCCTTTCGCTAGGCTGGCTCATATAATCTGATAACAGATTATGGATGTAACCTCAGGGTTGTGGGACATTTAATCAACCAGTAGTGAATAAGAAGTAAGACTAGTCACTTAGCAGATTTCAGTGTTATGTAATGGCAAGATTCATCCACTTTCTCAATAGCGAACACTAGAGTCTCAGAGTGTCTGTACCTTCAGTTCCTTGACATCGATGGTTCCAGAGCCGTCTGTGTCGAACAGATCGAACGCCTCTTTGATCTCCTGCTTCTGCTCTTCTGTCAGCTCTGGTTTGGGTCCTGCTTTCTTCCTCTGGTTTGCTGAAGCACTGCTTTTCCTGAAGCCGGACGCCTTGAAAATAACAGCAAAAAGAGAGATTCAGACACGTCTCCACCAGGGGGCGATAAGATTACACTTTAAATTATGTTTTTAAAGTTTTATGAAACTGTTTTTGAAATAGTCATGTCATGTATTAATCAAATAAGACTATCAACTGAACTTAAACATTGTTGGAGGTGCAACAGAAGAGCAAATGCAGAAATAAGTGAGCAGACACATCCTATATGTTGATTATCATGGGTTTTCTTTATATTTTATGTGTGTTTATGTTCATAATTCATATGTTCAGCATAAACGAGTACATCGCATTTTGAAAATTAATACTTTTATCCATTTCTCAGGGAACAAAGGTCATATATTTTGGTGCATTTAAACAAAACAGATTTAATAGACCAATATATTTATTTGAATAATATTTTAGTCACCAAAGATTGTTAGAAATAGAAAGAAAATACAAAACTACAAATTTTTAACTATAATTTTTTTGTTTCTCTTGATTTTTACACTTCTTTTTTTACATTTTAATTTATATTTTTTCCTAACAAATACATTTAGGTGGGCTAATTTTTAGATCATTATACGTTATTTTGGTAGATTAGCTCCAGATTTGGCTTCAGCAACGGACATATATGATAGAGGTAAAGTTGGTTTTATATTCGGATATTCAGACATTCTCCTTAATAATGTAATTTCAGAAAAGTATTATTTGAAAATTGTAAATAGCGAAATCATATTAGCAGCAAATGACCATCAAAGTACAACATTGTTTACAGTGAATTGCATAGTGTCAATGTTGTTTAGAAGTCATACTTGCATGCTAATTCCGATTGAATATTCAAAGTAACATGGTAAACAATGTAGAGACTTCTAAATGAACGAATATGCGAATATAAAACCAACTTTACCTCTATACATATATGTACATATATAATATTGTAAAGCATCCCATAGAAAATGTTCATTTAAAAGATAGATTTGTGATGTTTGTATTCATATATGCAGAGCACTGTCTCTTTAAGCTTAGGCTTTATATTCTAAACAATCTTAGGATATTCAAAAACTCATATTTAATTATGTAATGTGATTATATTTACGTTTACATTCAATCACTGGCAAAAACATTTACCCAAAGTGACTTATAATGCTGAGAATTCAGTTTTGAATCACATAAATACATTATATTTACAATATTTTCACACAGAAAGCAGTTCTTAATATTCAAAAAGAAAATTAATGTTTAATATTGAAATAAATGGAGCATTTGTGAGCAGAAAATATTCATAAAGGAAAAAATAGCAATGCAATGTTGATGCGAAATGTCTTATTTTAATGTAAATATGTTTGCATTCATGTTTAATCTGGTTTTGCATCTTTTGCCTCAACATTGGATTTTCAATCAATAGGTTAAATAAAGGCCACTTAATCACACCTTTACATACTTTACTCACTCGTTGTTAATCTGTAATCTGGGTTGATGGATTAGTTTCATAATCACACACGTAGATTTACATTAACTTAAGTGTAATTAATTAGATTCAACACATACTGTAAAGAATAACCGTGTAATTCAAATTAAACATGTTTTATTCATAATGTAAATTAAACTGTTTTTACTCTGTTGTTTTACTGTTTATAAAGCGAATAGCCGCTGGTTTCCATAACAATAACGCCAACAAGCTAACTGTTTAGCTAACAAACAGCGTGTTAACCTTTTAAATACATTATACTGACACGAATTCGTTAATAAAGTATTAAAAGTAACCTAAATAACACTTACCATTTTGATAAAAAGCGCAGAATAAAAGCACCGTGTTGTAACCTGCGTGAGATGTTAGTAAACAGAAGGAAACGCTGTCAGCAACTGTCGTGGCTTCCTCGAGCGCGCAGACTGGGCGTGGTCCCAATGTGAGTGACAGCTGATTGATCCAATAGCAGGCGTAGCTACTCTTGGTGCTTACGGTTTTACCAATCAAACATGAGCGGGCGGGATGTGTTGAGTTTGATGGACAGCTTGGTTCGTTTGGCGTCCGTCTCTTAGCAACTATTCAATAGAAGCCGTGTGCTAGTGCAGTGCGCGTGCGCATTTCAGAACATGGACCCGAGTTGTAAACAGTGCAGCTTTGCGATGAAGGTTTGTAACGATTCAGTTCAATCAGGACGTTATTTATGAAAGCTTTCGTGTACAAACTTGGATTTGACTCGGATTTTGAGCAAAATGATACCCAGATCATTTGAAAGTGCGTTGTTTTGCTTGCATGAAGTACAATAGAAGCTACTTTGCTAATGCTGGATGCACTGTTATCGACTGTTGTCATTCAGAAACATTCAGTTTTCTCATTGTAGCTACAAAGAAAGCATTTGCTGTCTTTCCTAACTTATTTCACACTTTAAGGGTTACAATGGGGTTTAATCTATGTGAGAAGAGAGCACAACTGAAGCAGTGCTAGTTTAATTGTAATTCTTATTAAATGCAGAGTTAAAAGATGAGTAATATTTAATAAACGTTGAATAATGACATTATTAACTTCATATATAACATCTTTATTAGTATTATATTATATTATTATTAAAATACGTTTGCACTATTATTTGTCTTTATTATTAATTTCATATTTTTTTTTAAATTGTCAACTTCATTTCAGTAATTGTATGATCCATGTACTTAATGTAGTAATAACTATAAATGATGCATAATTTCATGCAATTAACCCTAAACCTGACCCTCATCCTAACCCTGACCACGTAGCAAGGTATAATTTACACTGGAACACAAAGTGTGTCCTTTTCTTTATATAATTCAATATTTTTACAAACTATCTCCTCTTTTTTTTTTCTCTCAGCGGCGTCACATCGGCCTCCAGCAGCTGCAGGCCATCACATCCACCGCTCATGCATTTCTAGGTCCAAACAAACGGCTGAAGTTCATTCAAGATGAAGACGCCGGGGATGCAGTTTTAATCGGATCCTGTCCACGTCTGCTGGAACACCTGGAGCTGGACGGATCTGTCGGACAGCTGCTGCACGAGACAGTTCTGGCCCAGAAGAAGCTCTTCCACTCGGGCACGAACACGCTGATGTTTCTGGCCGGAGCCTGGAGCCGAGTCGCTCTGGAGTGTCTGAACAGAGGAATCAGTGTGTCGGACATTAAATCAGCCATGAGGGGAGGACTGCAGGAGTGTTTGGATGCATGCACACAGTTAGCGGTCAGTGTGGAGGAGTTTAAGAAATCTGATGTTAGATCTAATGATCAGTGCATTGATATGATGGTCAAACACAGCAGATACATTAATGCACGAACTAAAAACACACAATCTGATGACAATGTGCAAGATTTTAGAAAGTTAAGTATTAAATCAGATGATCAGTGCATGGATATGACACATAAACATAGCAGATATGCTAATACACAAACTGAACACGCACAATCAGATGACAATGTGCAAGATTTTAAGGGATCAGGTATTAAATCTAATGATCAATGCATGGATATGACACTCAAACACAGCAGATACATTAATACAAAAACGGAACACGCACAATCAAATGTCAATATGCAAGATTTTAGGAAGTTAGATGATAAATCTGATGATCAATGCAAGCATATGACACTCAAACACAGCAGACACTTTAATGCACGAACTAAAAACACACAATCAGATGTCAATGTGCAAGATTTAAAGGGATCAGATATTAAATCTATTGATCAATGCATGGATATGACACTGAAACACAGCACACACTTTAATGCACAAACTGAACACAATATGCAAGATTTTAGGAAGTTAGATGATAAATCTGATGATCAATGCATGTATATGACACTCAAACACAGCAGACACTTTAATGCACAAACTGAACACACACAATCAGAAGTTACTATGCAAGATTTTACGAAATCAGATATTAAATTGGACAATCAAAGCATGCATATGACCCTCAAACACAGCAGACACTTTAATGCACAAACCGAACACACACATCATGATGTCACTGTCATCGCACAAGCCGTCAGCCACGGATGCTCCTCCATGCATTTACTTTTAAAAGCGTATGAGTTGCAAAACCGCGCACATCTGGATATACACAATCTGGCAACGTGCTGCATCCCAGGCGTATCTGAAGATCATGCGTGTGTGTTGCGTGGGTATGTCACACTGCTCTCAGTCCAACAGACGACCCAAGTTCAGCGCCTTCAGGGACGTCCATTGAATATCGCTTTAATAAACGGCGATTTATCTGAGAAATATCGCCATGTGGGCTTTAATAGGCCTGGAAACATCAAGCACATCACCGATTTGTTCATCACTGAGGAATCCTGGATTGAAAATGCATACAAACTCCTGCATGATTCCAGTATTGATGTTGTGTTTGTGAGCGGTGTGGTTGATGTGGATCTGAAACAGAGATGCAAAGACGTTCTGATTCTTGAAGGTGTTAAAAGCAGCGTTTTGAAGCATTTCAGCACATGCACCGGAGCCGTCCCGGTGTCCTACATCTGTCAGCTGGATGAGCGCCGCGTGGGCCGAGGGCTGAGGCTCAGGAAAGAGTCGATCAGTGGGAGATCTGATATTGTGAGCATCACCACTGACTGCTCGGTTCTGGTCACTGCGGTTATATGCAGCTCTGTGTCTGCTAAACTGCAGATGCTGGAGGATGAGTTCTGGAGCTGCGCGCACCGGCTGCAGCATGCGCTCACAGATGGGAAACTTCTGCATGGCGCTGGAGTCACTGAACTCATCTGCATACGCCGGCTTCGACAGTACACACAGCTGCACCCTGACAGGTAATTTGTTATGTTTATTTAAAGGGGAGCTATTATGCAGAAATCACTTTTATAAGGGGGTTAAACACAGTTGTGTGTCAGCAGTGTGTGAATATATCCAGCTCATAATGGTAAACATGAACTAATTTTATTCGTTATAATCAGACTTGATAAGAACAGTCTGCAGAAACACTTTGATTGACATTCTCCCCTTGTACGTGTCATCAGAGGGGGAAGCCCCGCCCACAAGTGACCATCTCTCCCTCATTAGCATAGGACGTTAGTCTTATTTTTGAATCTGCCACTATGCTGACACAGGCATTTGTAGCTCCGCCCTCTTCTGAAATCTCATTTGAATTTAAAGCAACAGTCACCAAAACGCCACAATTAGGATCAAAGTCTAATGGCCCGGTTCCACTGAGTGGTACGGTTTGGTTGGGTACACTTTTATGGCCGTTTCTACAGTCAAAAGGTACCTAAAATTGAATCGTACCGTACCACTTTTTTGGTATCCTTTGCCAAGGGTATGAACGTTATGAAACGTTAACGAATAAACGTTATGAAAACGATAGTTTGTTGTACAGTTGGCGGTTCACTTCCGTTATTTGGTACGATTGCATTCATACCAGAAGTGAACCGAACCAGAGTTCGCATGAACCGTACCCCAGACCACCTCTTTCAGGGAGCTTTCACACGAAGGGTGCTTTCACACCAGTGAATCGATTCAGTTGTTCCGAAACAGAGATTACAATTGTTACATTGTTGCTCTTTGCTCTTGGAGCGGTTCGCTTTCACACTGCAAAGTTTCTAATCGGACCAAAAGAGCTAAAAACAAGTCACGTGCGAGTAAACTCTCCTCACATTAGTCAGGGTGTCAGGGTTTATTTTGCAGCGTCCCGCTCAGCTGTCAGGAGAGGTGGTGGTTTGGTGGTGATTGACAGGGTGCGCGCGCGATGTGTCTGCGGAGAGATGCGGTGGGGAAGGGTGCGCGACATAGCCTATTTGAGGACCGGGAGGGAGACGCGAGATTACCGGGAGATCATCACTCGTTTGCGGGCATCCGGAGACTCGCGAAACTTCCCGCCCTACTCATAATTCTCTCTTCTTATAGCCGTATGCCTATTACATATCCATAAAACACTGTGATATAACCGCGCTCGGATCGGATCGCTTTCTCAATGCAATCGATCTGCTCCAGGGTTCGTTTCAATCGAGCCGAGACCACCTCATTCAAGCGATCTCGGAGCGATTACTTTGGCATGGAACAGAGCGCGATTGCCCTGTTCACATATGCCAAACGAACCGCGCTAACTGGGCAAACGAGACACGTTCCGAAACAAAAGTGTAGGTGTGAAAGCACCCGAAGACTTTTGGTCCGCACCTGGGGTCGTTTGACGTCATAGTATGGTACATTTAGCTAGTGTGAACGTGTCTTCTGAACTCAGGTGCGCACCTGTGAACCGTACCCGAGTCTGCCTGAAAGAGGTGGTCTGGGGTACGGTTCATGCGAACTCTGGTACGGTTCACTTCTGGTATGAATGCAATCATACCAAATAACGGAAGTGAACCGCCAACTGTACAACAAACTATCGTTTTCATAACGTTCGTTTGCGTGCGCGTGTGTGTGTGTGTGTGTGTGTGTGTGTGACGTATCGTACCTTGGTGACAAGCGGGACTGAGCCAGGGCAAACACAGTGATAATTTCTTCTTGTCTCTTCTAAAATCAGCTTCTGCAGACACTAGCCCCTTTCACACAGTGATACCGGTAAATATCCGGAAAATTTCCAGAACGACTTTACCGGTATATTCAAAAAAGCGCTGTTCACACAGGCGAGGACGTTACGGAAATTTGCCGGAAAAGAGCATTCACACATCCATTCCAAAATACCGGTAAATTCTGACATCATTCACCACAAATGAGCTTTAAACGGCTGCGCTTGTGTTTGTAAACCTTTGACTAAATTACAAACTCTGTGGATGATCAATATTGTGAACAACTTTTGCAGGATCACTTTCGCATGTCGAGATGTTCATAATATGAGCGTGTGCAGGCGCTCACAGGCTGTTTCACAGGCACACGCAAAGCTTGAAGGTAAACAAACAACGGCTTATCATAAGCATCTCATCGATGGTTATTTACACAGTTGGCACTAAGAAGAACATAGAAACGTGATCTGACTAACTTCTAGCAGATAAATGTGTCTGGAAAAATATTCAAAGGCTTTTATTCTCATAAACCGCGCGGACGTAAATGCGTCTGACTGTTGTGATTGGCTAAAGCAGACGTCTCACGTCAGCATGTTCTAGACGTGCACGCGATTATTACGGCAATCTTCCTTCTGCATTCACACAGCGCAGCATTCCGGCAAATTGCCGGTAATGTTACAACTTCTCTTTCCGGAAAATAGCCAGAGCGAATTTACCGGTATTTTCAAAAAGGACCTGTTCACACATACAACCTTTCCGGAAAATTGCCGGCAATTTTCCGGAAAGGTCTGTATGTGTGAAAGGGGCTACTGTGTGATGTTCTGAATGTTTATAATATGGTTGCGGCAGATAGACGTGAGTCGCTTTCTGTATGTCCAAAACTAAAAGATTCAGTAAAAGCAAATTGACCGGGATGTGCGGAAGTCTTTTGACGCTTTGCTTTTGTGACCGTCACCAACTGCCAAATAATGGAAGTGAACCGCCAACTGTACAACAAACTATCGTTTTCATAACGCTCATTCGTATGTGTGTGTGTGTGACAAGGGGGGACAATCAAACTTTGATACGGTCCAGGCAATTGAACCAAGTGCGAAAGCACCCTTATGCTGCGTTCACACCAGACTCGGAACGCACGTCAAACGCGAGTGATTTTCATGTTAAGTCAATGTAAACGCGCGAATAAACATCCGGCGCAGCGATAATGATGCGAATTGCGTGAATGGCGCGGTGCGAATGCCACGATACGTGCAAATAGCATGGTGCGAATTGAGCGTTTTGCGCCTTTGACGCGCGAATCGCCCGAGTTCAAAAATCTGAACTTCAGCGGACATTCACGCCGCATTAACCAATCAGGAGCTTGCTCTTGTGGGGCCGTGATTGTGACGCATCGCCTGTTGTTGGTGTCCTGGGGGAAATCCTCCAGCCGACATCGGCAAAAAGTTCATCAAACTGGGCTTGGCTCAGTCAGAAGCACCGCTGAAAGCCTCCGTCAGCCAGGTAAAGTTTCTGGTGGAGTTTATGAGCTCATAAAGCTGGATGCATCTCTGAAAGGATCTAGTGGACTCAGAGACGGTCCTAAACATATCGACGCTGTTTTTCAGTCTTCATTAAGCACATAAACACTGTTATTTTCTTCATAAAGTCCATGTTAGCCATTTAGCAATGAAGCTAGTGTCACCAGGCAGACTGAAGCCCTGCCCATCACGCGAATCCGCGTCTGTTCTGACGTGAAATTGACGCACAAATGAAGCGGATTTGAAGCGAATGAAGCGAGTAAAATGTTCACGTGGCTATTTACGCGCGAATAGCTAGATTTATCCGCGCGTTCCGCGTCTGGTGTGAACACAACATAAGGCGGACTCGGGTACGGTTCACGGGTGTGCACCCGAGTTCAGAAGACACGTTCACACTAGCTAAACGTACCGTACTATGACGTTAAACGAACCCGGGTGCGGACCTAAAGTGCTAGTGTGAAAGCTCCCTAATTGATTTCAGACATATTGAGTCAAAATTAAGTGAGTTTTTCTTTTAAAACAAGCGAAATAATCTACCAATGGGGTCAGCAAAGTGATATTACGTCTCTGACTAATTTGTTTATCTCATTGGCAGATTATTTAGCTTGTTTTACGGAAAAACTCACTTAATTTTGACCCATAATTTCTGAAAACAAGCCATTTTTTGCTTGTTTATAAAATATTTAAGAATTTTTTAGTATTTGGACTTGAAAAATTTGACACCCTGTAAGCAAGACACCTATTTCACTCTTTGCATAAGTGCACATAAATATGGCACTTTAAAACCACACTGCTTGTTTCAGAAGCCCTCATGACAGTGCGGTCCTGGAGCTGATGTCTGAAGCCTGGATGGACTTCATCTCTACTGTAATGCTGAACAGCGGCTCGGTGGCGAATAGAACAGAGGCCTGGACGTCTATCACACATCAGATGAGACGACACACAGATATAGGAGTCACAGATGGACTCGGTGTGTATGATAACGTGACGGTGAAGTGTGAAGCCTGGAGAAGAGCTCTGGATCTGGTGTTTCTGGTGCTTCAGTCGGACACTGAGATCATTACTGGGGTCAGTCAGGGAGAAAACACGTATAATCAGCTGATGTTTCTTTGACGTCTGTGGTATTATTAAAGCTTGGCTGCATTGGAAATTGCTGCAGACTTTTATTTCAGTATGATGATGAAATACAGGGGGGGTTGGGAGGGATTGACTACATTAATTAATGCTTGATCCCCTGTGATGGACGTCAAAATTAGATGTATGGTGGGTCAGTGCTTTAATAGTGAGAAATAGTTAGCTTAGATCTGTGTTTTAAATAATAAATGTTAATAATTAAAATCATAGATCATATAAATATACATTTGACTACCCCTATAATGGATCATACCATTGTGAATGCACAATTGCACCAATCAGTCTATGCAAGAAATCATTCAACAGTCTGAAACTGCAGATTTACAGCACCGATAGACATTGTAAGTGTTCACAAGACTGTTTTCTCATAAAATAAATGTTTGTTTTTACATGTAGCCTAAAAGCAGACAAATTAGATGTATAGTTTGACCTACAGTAACATGTGAAATGTCATTCAGAGGTTACTTACGTCACTAAATATCCCTAAATAAACTTATTTAACACTAAATAAACCTTAATAGGTTTTAATAATAAATGTAGATATAATTTAAATAAATACATAAATTAAATTCAGTGAAGAATGTATCACACGAACTAACATTAACATAAAGTTGCTCATCAGCGTAATTTGCACACTGATAATGATGCATTTCTAACTGAAATGGAATATTGAGAAGGGGCGGGGTTTTATTATTGAGCCCCTCTTCTGATCTTTCACTCACAGCAAACTAACGGTTGAAGGGGCGTGGCTAAGCACATTTCAGCCAATCAGAAGGACAGCCGTTCTGGAGCAGAAGCAGATGGCCAGATTTTACAAACTGTTTTTATTTTACTGGATTAACTTGCATAAATTAATTAGGATTAACGATATGCGGTAGCCAAATAAAGATTGTGAATATTGATTTCAGGCAGACCTTTTGTTTAAAATGTTATTGAAACCAAACCTTTCATTTGTACTAGTAAGATGCAGGAACTGTAAATGTAATACAATATGCTGTATAAAAAATGTGCTTCAATAATTTTGTGCTGTTAAAAAATGTTTTCCTTGCTGATATATGTAAATAAATGATTACATAAAAAAATTATAATAATTTAATACAAAAGTATTTGCGGATATAATTATTTGTTTAGGGGTTTGTTTCTATATAATAATACATGTTAATCAAAACTTAATTTTTTTAGCAAAGCAAATGAAGTGTCAAAGATTTACATGTAAAAACTAAATAATTATTCTGACCTGTAGTTATTAAAATACTTACATAAACGAATATATAGTCAAACTAAATTTGTTTAAGCAGATAAAAACGTATTGCTTTTTTATTTAATTGAGTAATACTGCCACAAAGTGGGCATTATAAGAGTATTACCGATAAATACTCAACACAACATCAAATTCAACACTTTTAGTAGACAAAATAACCTGTTTTTAAAAGTCTTGTTCACAAAGACGACAAAATAAGATGATAAAAAGCGACCATCTTTGTATATACAATGTGGTTTAACAAAGGTAACACGTTATTGTATTAAATTAAATACAAAACCTGCAACCAATAATTGATTTATTTATTATTGATTAAATGTAGGGATGTCAATACAACTTCCAGCACACTATAAACAAAGCACAAAACTCACACGCAAAAACTAATTTAATCAAACCCACTGAATTAACATTTTAAAGGGGCAGTTCACCCAAAAGTAAACCTTTTATTAACGCTTGCAGAGCGTCAAGTTGTTACAAACCTTTATTTCTTGCTCTTCTGCTTAGTTTCTTCTGTTGGACACCGGTAACATTTGACATCAGTAGTAGGAAAAACAAAATCTATGGTAACATTCTTCAAAATATCTTCTTTTGTATTGAGCAGATGCCGAAATTGAATTTGTGACAAGTGAAAGGTGAGTAAATAATGACATTTAATTATGGGGTGAACGGTCTATTAAAAGAATTAACTGTTTATGTAAAAAATACACTGTGTTTTAATAAAAAAAGGATCATCATAAGCAAATAATAATCATAATAACCGTTATTATTAGTGTTAGTAGCGACTTTTATTTTGACGTTTCACCTGCTCCGGCCATTTTGGCTCCACGGTGGCTGGTTTCGCCCGCAGTGAGTTGGGCGGCTCATGCAGGCAAACATCAGCTGAGCGTTGTCCGTTCTGGCATGAGTAAAACGCAGACATTTACCGCAGTAAGAGAGTAAAAGTGTCCGTCAGCCATGTGGATCACGCCAGAGGAGGTGTTATTAGCCAACGCGCTGTGGGTGAGCGAGCGCGCGAATCCATACTTCATCCTGCAGAGGAGGAAGGGACACGGGCGCGGAGGAGGCATCACGGGTAATAATAATAATAATAATAAACATATAACCCTCACATAAACACCACCCATCCGTGCATATGTGTGGCGCTTAAACAGAGCACAGTCAACTGTTGTTAATTTTGCTGCTGGTTCATTGTAACTGGGTTGCATCTCTTCATTGATGCTGACGGTGTTTGCGTCATGACTTTATTTACGTCTGACATATTTATGTGGTAGGCGTTTGTTATTGAGGTAAAAGTTGGTTTTATGTTCGCACATTTGTTCAGGAACATCTTGTATATTTTATATACCTATATATTGTTTACCACGCTTAATAATATTTGGATTTTCCGTCTGAAATCGCCTGCGAGCATATCTTCATAACAACATCAGCACTATTTAACTGACTGTGAACTGTTGTACTTTGACTGGCTGATCATATGATTTCACTGTTTGGCATTAGCAAGAACACATTTCTGAGATTATATTATTAAGGAAAAAAATCCGTATGTGTTAAAAACCAAATTCATCCCAATACGGTGAAGTGGTGTTTATTTTGCTACTGGTTCATTACCCGTTTTGTTTAGCTTGCATCTCTTCATTCATTGATGCTGACGGTGTTATTCTCACATTTGTTCAGGCACAACTTGTATTTTTTTCATGTACCTATATTGTTTAGCACGCTTAATATTTTATAAACAGTACACAAACATCTATTATGTCAAAACAAACTTTTATTTTGTTAGGATGCGATTAGCAGTAGTCAAGAATTATAATGCTGTGTATATGTATTTTTAAAATGTATTATTCTTGTTACTTTTTTGTATTTTAATTTTAAATATTGTATTTGTAAAAATTCAAATAATTCAAAATCAAGCCTCCCTTTGGAGAGGTGTTGAAAATCAGCAAATCTGCTATAACACTTGCTCTATAATATAATATAATAAAATAAATATATAACTATAATCTAAATAACTATAATAACAACAGTGCCATTTTGATGTAAAATAAATAAAGAAAAATCATAGCAGAAAATAAGGGGCAACACAGTGGCCTCACAGCGAGAAGGTCGCAGGTTCAAGTCCCAGCTGGGTCATTTGACTTTTCTGTGTGGAGTTTGCATGTTCTCCAAACACATGCGCTATAGGAGAATTGCTCGACTAAATTGTCCTTAGTGTACGAGTGTGTGTTAATGAGTGTGTTTGGGTGTTACCCAGTACTGGGTTGCTGCTGGAAGGCATCCATTGTGTAAAACATGCTGGAATAGTTGGCGGTTCATTCTGCTGTGGCGACCCCTGATGAATGAGGGACAACTGTCATGTTATTTTCTTTACTTACTGAGAAATGGATAAAACATATTTTCAATTAATGCTATGCACTTTATTTATTTATTTATTTACTTATTTAATTGCATACTCTTTAACTTATTTACTAATTTATTTATTTATAAAAAGAGCAAAGATTTAAGACTGCCACACTCATTGTTTTTCAGATTTTCTCCTACATGGTGAATTAATTTGCTGCTTTTATCCTTCAGAAGTGCTGTGATTAATCAATGAATGAATAAATTAACTAATTTATTCTTAATTAATTAGTTAATTAATTAATTCTAATGTATTTTAAAATATTAAATGTATTAACATTAATTAACAATAATTAATTAATTTATTCTAATTTATTTTAAAATATTAAACGCATTACCATTAATTAATTAATATATTTTAATTGATTTTAAAATATTAAATGTATTAACATTAATTAATTAATTAATTTACATTTATTAAAAAATGTTAACACATTTAACATTTTAAAATTAATTATAATATATTAATTAATTACATTTTTCATAAATTATATAAAAAAATAAACAAATAAATGTAATAAGTAAATAAAATAATTAATTATTTTAAACTAAGTCTAAATAAATAACTGGGGCAGCTCAGTGGTTAGTAGTGAGGTCACTGGTTTGAGTCCAGGCTGGGTCAGTTGGCATTTCTGTGTGGAGTTTGCATGTTCTCCCTGTGTTGGCGTGGGTTTCCTCCGGGTGCTCACTTCAATAATTAAACGCATAAACAGCCTGTCCCAGATGCATCATGGGAATAAACAAGCGTGTGTTTCCTCCAGAGAAATAGCTGTGTCTCTGACACTCGGACACAAACAGACTGGCAGAAACAGGCTTTTTTATTTAGTACGTGTGTCTCACATGACAGCAGAATGACTGCATTCACCTCTGAACCCAAATATTAACTCTATTGCATTAGAAGTGTCGTCATACACTTGTTCTGCTGTGTGAGAGTCATCATGGGGATGATGTCATGGGCGTGTAATAATAATGATAATAATTATTCCTTTTGATAATGGCAGGGTTTCTTATTTTGGAAGAATCTGCTGGTTAATGTGTGTGTCGCTGTCAGAATCACACATTAACTGATCATGTGACACACACACACACACACAGGAGGAGGAAGTCAAGACGTGTGTGACAAACAGCATGACATGTCTCGAATTCCTCTCCAGTTGTGTGTGTGTGTGTGTGTGTGTGTGTGTGTGTGTGTGTGTGTGTGTTGTTGCTGTGCAGTGTTTTCCACTTACTTTTCACTTTAGGTCTGCTGGTTGGGATTCTAGATGTGTGTGTGTGTGTGTGTGTGTGTGTGTGTGTATTATTGACTGTGCTGTTTTCCTCACTGTGAGTGTGTGTTGACTGTGTTGTGTGTTTTCCTCTCTAGGGGTTCGTTCTTTGTACCTCGCTTAAATAATCTAAGATGATTTGGCAGATCCTGGATCTGTTGATCTTGATAACTGATCTCTGGCTAATTTGGTTCTTCAAACAAGTTAGCGAATTAGATTTAAATGTCTGGATGAGCTGATCTGAGATCACTGGCTGTGTTGTGAAGGACAGATCTATCATGATCCTCGAAATCATGATCAGCAATGCAGTGATTGGCTGACGGCACAGCAGCGTGATGACATCATCTGATTAATATTCAATTCTCCATGTGAGCAAAATTACGTGAAATTGGTAGTAAACAGTTTGTTAAATATGACACGCAATAACTTTCCACCTCAGTTGGCGTTTCTGTGTGGAGTTTGCATGTTCTCACTGCGTTCGCGTGGGTTTCCTCCGGGTGCTCCGGTTTCCCCCACAGTCCAAACACATGCGGTACAGGTGAATTGGGTAGGCTAAATTGTCCGAAGTGTATGAGTGTGTGTGTGGATGTTTCCCAGAGATGGGTTGCGGCTGGAAGTGCATTCGTTGCTTAAAAACTTGCTGGATAAGTTGGCGGTTCATTCCGCTGTGGCGATCCCGAAATAATAAAGGGACTAAGCCGAAAAGAAAATGAATGAATGAATGAATGAATGAATGAATAGCTTTCCACATTTGTTGTGGGCTGCAGGCTTTACACTTTCATATGTCGAGAACGGACCCCTGGTCTAGTGGTTGGGACTCTGTTATTGACTGTGGTGTATTTGCCTCCACAGGGCTGCTGGTTGGGACTCTGGATGTGGTTCTGGACTCCAGTGCTCGTGTGGCTCCATACAGGATTCTGCATCAGACGGGAGAGTCTCAGATATTCTGGAACATCGCCTGTGGTTTGTGTTCAGTAACAATATCAATCATACACAGATTTTATTAGTGCTTGTATATATATATATATATATATATATATATATATATATATATATATATATATATATATATATATATATATAGATATATAGATATGTATATATATAAAACAAACAAACAATAAAATTAATGAAGAACACATGAAATAATGTTTGATCTTTCGTCTGCAATAAAAAAAGTCAAAGTAAATATGAAAATCACTTCTTTCTTTCTTTATTTTGCGTTTTCCGCTCTGCACACTGTGCATTTTAGATCAGCTAGAGTGCTTCGTCTAAATAACAGAGGAATTGTTTTTCTCCAGACAAATTGATTTGTCTGGGTTTGTTTAGTCATGTGACAGAGGACACACGCACACACACACATACACACATACACAGAGCCTCTCTTGATGTTTTGGCTTGACCTGCATCTGTTTCTGAGATGAACATCTGTAATGTGATTGGCTGAGAGGAGTCACTTGGCCCACATTAGCATTCTGCATATCTCATGAATAAACATCAGCTGACCTTTAACCAGCCGTCCTGAGTTTGACTGACACCGTTATCAGCACTGCTCTGATGTGTGTTTGTGAATGTGTGTCTGTCTGTGTGTGTGTCTGTCTGTGTATATGTATGTATATGTCTCTGTTTCTATATGTGGGTGTCTATGGTTGCATGTCTGTGTGAGTCTATCTCTGTCTGTGGTATCTATGTGTGTATTTGTATCTCTTTGTGCACATCTGTGTGTGTGTTTCTGTCTGTATCTGTGTATGTGTGTGCTTCTGTCTATGTGTGTGTGTGTGTGTGTGTGTGTGTGTGTGTGTGTGTTTGTGTGTCTAATTGGGTGAGTATTTGTGTGTGTGTTTCACAGGCTCATCCCGTAAGGAGATCACTGAACACTGGGAGTGGCTTGAGGCGAATCTTTTGCAGACTCTGTCCATCTTTGACAACGATGATGACATCACTACCTTTGTTAAGGGCAAAATACAGGTCACACATTTTTATTATCTGTTATACCGCAGGTCTGTTGAATGCTTCATTCTGATTGGCTGTTGTCATATGCCAGTGAATTTCTCGCTCATTATTTTATTCGTTCATCTGCTCTTCTTCTCCACAGGGCATCATCGCTGAGGAGAATAAAGGCGGGAAACCCCAGGAGGACGAGGATCCTGGGAAGTTTCGTGAGGCGGAGCTGAAGATGCGGAAGCTGTTCGGGATGCCAGAGGAGGAGAAGCTGGTCAACTATTACCCTTGCAGCTACTGGAAAGGCCGGGTCCCACGGCAGGGCTGGATTTACCTGTCCGTAAACCACCTGTGTTTCTACTCATTCCTGCTGGGCAAAGAGGGTGAGGAACACACACATTTATGTTTTGTTTTTTTGTTTGTTTGTTTTGTTTTTGTTGCTTTTTTGTTTTGTTTTTTGTTTTGCTTTGTTTTGTGCTTTGCTTTTTTGCTTTTTGCTTTGTTTAGCTTTTGTTGCTGTTTTGTTTTGTGTTTTGGTTTTGCTTTGCTTTGCTTTGCTTTGCTCTGCTTTGCTTTTGTTTTGTTTTGCTTTGTTTTTCGCTTTGTTTTGTGCTTTCCTTTGTTTTGCTTTTTGTTTTGTTTTGCTTTTTTGTTTGGCTTTGCTTTTGTTTTGCTTTGTTTTGTGCTTTGTTTTTGCTTTGTTTTGCTTTTTGTTTTGTTTTGCTTTTGTTGTTTTTTGTTTTGTTGTTTTGTGTTTAGTTTTTGTTTTGTGTTGTGTTGTGTTGTGTTGTGTTGTGTTTTGTTTTATTTTGCTTTTGTTTTGCTTTGTTTTGCTTTTTGTTCTTTGCTTTTTATCATTTAGTTCTGGGTTTTGTTTGGTTTTGTTTTGTGCTTTCTTTTGTTGTCATTTCATTTAGTTTTTGATTTGTTTTTTTGCTTTGCTTGGTTGTCATTTTGTTTTTTGCTTTTTTGTCACTTTGTCTTTTGTTTTATTTACTTTAGTTTTGTTTTGTTTTTTGCTTTGCTTTGTTGTTACTTTGTTTTTGTTTTGTTTTGTTTTTTTGTTTTGTTTTGTGCTTGCTTTGTTTTTTGCTTTGTAGTCGCTTTGTTTACGTGTTTTGATTTTGCTTTGCTGTCGCTTTGTTTATGTTGTTTTGTTTTGTTTTTTGCTATGCTTTGTTTTGTTTTTTTGCTTTGTTGTCGCTTTGTTTTTTGTTGTTTTGTTTTTTGTTTTGTTCTTTGCTTTGTAGTCATTTAATTTTTTGTTTGGTTTTTTGCTTTGCTTTGTTGTCAGTTTTTTTGTTTTGTTTAGTTTTTGTTGTCATTTAGTTTTTTGTTTTGCTTTGTTGCTTTGTTTTTTGTTTTGTTTAGTTTTTGTTGTCATTTAGTTTTTTGTTTTGCTTTGTTGTCGTTTTTTGTTTTGTTTATAGTTTTGTTTTTTGTTTTGTTGTCATTTCATTTAGTTTTTGTTTTGTTTGTTTTTTTGCCTTGCTTTGCTGTTGCTTTGTTTTTTGTTTTGTTTTGTTTTTTGTTGTTTTGTTTGTGCTTTGCTTTTTTTTGTTGTCATTTCGTTTTGTTCTTTGTTTTGTTGCCATGTCATATAGTTTTTGTTTTGTTTTTTTGTTTTGTTCTTTGTTTTGTTTTCTTTTCATTTAGTTTTTGTTTTGTTGTCGTTTTGTCTTTTGCTTTGCTTTGTTGTCATTTTGTTTTGTGTTTTTGCTTTGCTTCGGTTTGTTGTCAATTCATTAGTTTTCATTGGTTTCTGTTTTGTTTGCTCTGTTTGAACGCTGTCCTGCTGCAGTGTCTCTGGTGGTGCAGTGGACGGACGTCACTCAGCTTGATAAGAACGCCACGCTGGTGTTCCCGGAGAGCATCCGCGTGAGCACTCGAGACACTGAGCATTTCTTCTCCATGTTCCTCAACATCAACGAGACCTTCAAGCTGATGGAGCAGCTGGCGAACATCGCCATGAGGCAGCTTCTGGACAATGAGAGCTTCGCAGCAGACCGCTCACTGCCCAAACCCGCTAACAAGACCCTCAAGAACGTCTCTGCACTGAAAAGGTCAGCAAATCACAGAAAAAGAAAGTCTACTCTTAACCCTTGTGTTTTGATATACTCTGGGGTGATTTTGAGTCTTAATTTGGCCACAAATTTCTCTGTTTCAGCAAATTTAATGATTTTTGGTGACATCTTCTTTTGACTTGTTCATTTGTTAAAAATTCAGCAATACACTCTGGGCAAATGTATTACCCTTTTGTTATGCTAGTGGCTGTTTCTGCCCCATTGACTTCCATTATAACCACACCTACACTGCATGACTTTGAACTCTGTAAGAAACCCACACCACAACACTGGTGGAACATGCAAACACCAACTGACCCAGTTGGGACTCGAACCAGCAACCTTCTTAATGTGAGGCCACTCTGCTAACCACTGAGCCACCTAGTTTATTTTTCAAATGTTTTTTCTTTCTTCAGGGATCTGGATGCCCGAGCGAAGAATGAGCGCTACAGGGCTCTGTTCCGGCTGACGCAGGACGAGCGTCTGGACGGACACACCGACTGCACACTCTGGACACCCTTCGCCAAGATGCACGTCGTCGGGCAGATGTTTGTGTCCAACAACTACATCTGTTTCACCAGTCGAGAAGAGGACCTGTGTCAGCTCATCATTCCACTCAGAGAGGTATGCAGACAGACAGACAGAGGAGCACACAAAGAAACAAATAGATGATTCGGTACTCCACCAAACATTGCAGTCAAAAATGTAATTTTATTTGCCAGCCAGTGCTGACTTATTCAGAAAAAAGGGATCCAAACTTAATATTTGCATTTTGACTTTTGATTTTTTGTTTCCCACATTTTTTTTTTTACCATTCATTTTATTTAAAGGGCACCTAGGTTACCCATTTTTTCAGATTTAATACAAGTCTTTTGCGAATGTGTATGTAAAGTTTCAGCTCAAAACACCCATCAGATTTTTCATTATACCTTTTACAAGATGCTGTTACTGATTTCCAGCAGGGGTGGTTTTGTTGTACTGCGCCTTTAAGACGAGTCTTTCCCGCCCATTGTTTCTACGTGCCTTCCCGCGTGCTTTAATCTCCTCCCTTGGCTGCGTCAGACAACAGACAGACTTTAAGGAAGAAGGTCTCACGTAGCGTTTGTGAGAAATACTACAGTAAGAACTAACCTTTACTAATCAGTATTGTGAAGTTGCATTGATGAGTCACATGCAACATCGTTACAAAGTTCACGCACACACACACACACATAGACAGGCAGGCAGGCAGGCAGACAGACAGAGTGCGCTTAGCTTAGCACTGTTTTTGCACGCACATGTGACAGGATACAGGCTAACCTCCACTGCTGTGTGGATATCTGTTATGCTAATGTACACAATAAACCTGATTTAACTTCCACAAGCCGGGATTGAAGCGTCTTCTTTTATAATTGTTCTGACATAGGCTGTGCTGATGAAGTAAAGCTGAAGTAAAACGCTGTAATTAATTACACACGTGCACTGTTTTAAAACACTTTAAACTTGTGAAACTTACTCTTAATCACATTTGATGATGATTGCTGATCCTAGCGAACAGAACAGAGCTTTTATTCCCGTTTGCTTTGCGTATGTCTGCCTGGTCTTGTGGAGATATACACGTGACTACCGGAACATGTTAATGTGCGCAGCTGTCAATCAATTCGTAGGCGGGGGGATCGCACACCTACTTAAAGTTGCGGTCGGTCTAAAAACCGCACTAATTAGTCCACCGTTTTTATGTTGTTAAATTGAAAAAAAAGGACTGGGTGTGTTTGTATCAGCTCAATATGATGGTCTATACACTATATATACACATATGTTTGTCCAAATAGCTTGAAAAGTAGATTTTTCACCATAGGTGCCCTTTAAATGTTTATCTATTTAATTTTACTACTTTATTTTATATTTTTAAAGCCTGTTGTGATCAGTTTTACATCTATGTACAATAGATGAATGAACATATAAGGGAGCTTGTATCTACTTTTATTTGCTTATGTATGTGTACATGATGATATGATGTAAAACAGATTAGGAATGTGCGTAATATATATATATATATATATATATATATATATATATATATGTATATATATATATATATATATATGTATATATATATATATATATATATATATATATATATATATATATATATATATATATATATATATATATATGTATATATATATAAATATAAATGATGCAGTGGGGCACTAAGATAATAGCTGCGCGTGCTGCAGTATTTTTTCCCGGTGAAACGAGTGCTTGCAAGATCAGGAAATCCCACATTCAGAGAATCCAGCAAACTTTCTGATCATGGCCTTATGAGAAATATTTCCTAACTACAAAACGCTGGCTGAAGTGGCGCTAGTAAATCCGGTCTTTGGTCACAAGAAGTCGATTTTCCGAGGCAAAGACAGTCTCCCTTGATGCGTTTGATTACGCACAGGCAAGCACCCAGTTCGGATTGACGCAGGAGGAAGATATGAGTTAGGGCAGATAGGAGTTTTTGTTCATTTGTCAAATAAATAAATAAATAATTTAGCCTATATGCTCGTTGTGCAATTTCATTATTAACCACTTTAACTCTGCTGCTATTTTGGGATTTCCGCCTGGATTTTGCCTACCCAAATTTAAATGCTTCCCAAATCCACATGCAGAGGTGTAAATGCAAACATTTGGCATCATTTTAAATAAAACCCTTTGAATTTTAATAAAACACTATTGAAAGTGTTTAAATTATCTGTATATGCTATCTGTGTTATAATAAACACCTGTGGTCTAGCGTGCTGTAAATAATTTTGGTGGTTCCTGCACATGTCTGTAATCATAGGAAAAAAGAAACATGTCTCCACCATAATCTATGCAAAAGTTATTGCATTCCAACTGATGAGAGGTGCTGTACAAGCCACAGGGAGCGATCATTGTTTTCATATTTCACGATTCTTTTGTTTGATCAATCATAATTCACTGTGTTTGGAGCTCGTCAGACATATAAAAGGATTACTTATGCACATCACCTCAAAAACAGAGGAGAATGACCCTGAAGCGCACAGCATAAGGTAAGAGATGAGCTGTCTGTGCTATCTGGGGCTGCTTACTGATCATGAATGTATTGTTTTCACTTCAGCGCCATGGAAACACAGAGATTCATCTGGCAACTGTTTGATATGTGAATATAAGTCAGTAAAAATAATGCTAAAACCGTATGAGCACCAGCAAGAGCTTTCATTTGAGCTATAACTTGTACATGTGTCCTATAAAAAAATATTAAAATGAACCAATGTTCAATACCCAGCTCGGGTATCCAAAACACTGTGTATTTAAGTGTAAATAACTTTTATACAGTAGAATAAAAACCAAAGTGATGCATGTGTGCATAAAATATAGATTCTACACTTTCAAATGACAACACTTACGGGGGTCTGGTGCAATGCCAGCCCTTTAAATCTGAAAGCGAAAGTCGATGACGTCACGGACCCGGAGTTTAAGTGGTTGAAATATGAATGAAAAAAGTGATCAGAAAGTCTGCAAATTAAATTACAATCAATAATAAGTTATGACGGAAATTTTACAACCCTCTCCGTCAAAATGACGGACAATGAGAAAGTCTAATGCCACCTCTGCTACTCCCTGGCGACTAACCCGGCCCAAAAAAAAGCCCTGGCTCGCACTGGCCCGACTGTGGAAATGCGGCTAATGTGTCTCTATTCTCAAATCTCTTAGAAATTGTTGTTTTATTAAGTAAAATGTCCATAAAAAGATCTGAACAAGAAAAAACAAAGCCTACCCCAAACCAACTCTGTTCAGGTGACGATCGTGGAGAAAGCGGACAGCAGCAGCGTTCTGCCCAGTCCACTGTCCATCAGCACTAAAAACAAGATGACCTTCCTGTTTGCAAACCTCAAAGACCGAGACTTCCTGGTTCAGCGAATTTCTGACTTCCTGCAGCGCACGCCGGACGGGCCCTGTGGAGTCCTTCAGTCCGTGAGTCTGCCTTCACTTTAATATATGTACATTGCCTTGATATCAGCACATGGTAATGCATATAACCTGCTTTTCTCCTGGTTCTCTCTCTGCAGGAGAACCCCAGTCCCAGCACGCCTCCGTCTCCTCCAGTGCTCAGCCTCTCAGAATCAGCCCAGATGCAGCACTACAGCCCCAGCCTGCCCACCGCCAGGAAGGGGCTCCTGCAGATCTACCAGCAGGACGTCCCAGAGGAGCTCGGGCCCAAAGTGGTGAGACGCACACCTCATACGCCTGCATAAGACACTATTATATCAGCTTAAAGGGACATATCAAGACTTAACTAGGTTAATTAGGCAAGTTAGGGTAATTATGCAAATCATTGGTCAACAGTGGTTTGTTCTGTAGACAATCGAAAAAAAGGGGTGTTATAATATTGACCTAAGCATCACTTGCTATAGATATGAAAAATAATAAAGATTTTACAGGATAATAATTGTGCCTTCCACTATATGTAAATACTATTGTTTTGTATATTTTCACATGTACACAAGTGTGTGTGTGTGTGTGTGTGTGTGTGTATGTTTGTAGTGTTATGTTTTGTTGGTGTTTCTTTTGGTTTTGTGTTGATCTTGCTCTTTCCACTGCTCAGACGAGAGAGAGGATGAAGGAGGAATCGTGGAAGATCCATTTCTTTGAGTTTGGCCGTGGAGTGTGTATGTACCGCACGTCTAAAACCAGAGAACTGGTGCTCAACGGCATTCCAGAGAGTCTCAGAGGAGAACTGTGGCTACTGTTCTCAGGTGATCTCACACACACTCGTACTCACGCATACACACACACACACACACGTTGAACTGAAAAAAGAAAACAGTAGGCGGGGCGAGGCAGTGGCGCAGCAGGTAGTGCTGTCGCCTCACAGCAAGAAGGTCGCTGGGTTGCTGGTTCGAACCTCGGCTCAGTTGGTGTTTCTGTGTGTAGTTTGCATGTTCTCCCTGCCTTCGCGTGGGTTTCCTCCGGGTCCTATTTTTTTCTATCTCAATATAGTATAATAGTCTATATAGTCAAAATTCATTTGGAGATATCTCTAATTACAATTGTGACTAATCAAAACTCAGTTAGAGATATCTGCAAATATTTTTTAATGGAAGTCAATGGAGGAACGTGACTAGTCATTATATATTTGCAGATATCTCCAATCTGATTTCGTACTAGTACAATTGTAATTGCAGATATCTCTAATTGTCATTCTGAGTAGTGGAATTGTAATTATGACTAGTCAAAATATAATTAGAGATATCTCTAAATCTATTTATGTAGTCAGAACAAAGATTTAAATGCTAAAAAGGCTTGCCATAGAGAGCGCTTCTCACTGAACAGAGCAGCAGCGATGACGTAAGCGTGCCAAGGCCCGATATGGTGTGAGCGCGGGCCGTCGGGGGAGACGGGAGGGGGGACAAGCGTGCTTTGGCCCGGTTCGAGGCAACTGTACCTAGTGTGAGTACGGCCTCAGATTCTTTCAGAGAAAGAAAATCAAGCTGTAGAATGGCCCAGCCAATCACCTGATCCGAATCCAATAGAAAATACAGAATAAAGCTCAGATTTGGGAGACGGGACCCACAGAACCACCAAGATTTTGACACTGAGTTGAAGTCTGAAATTTGAGCAATGCATGTGACTTCACTCTCCATATGAGATGTGTCTTTCAGCTGCGGCACCAATAAAGCCTTTTATTGAAAGTATTAAACATGTTTCAGCAGATGAGCTCTTTCTCCTTCTGTCATTTCACTGTTATTACACACAACTCATTACTCAGATTTGTTTTGTTTCATTTCTGTGTTTGTATTGTTTGAGTTTTAACTAAAAGCTGGTTCATTTCCATGTCAGCAGCTGCTTTAGAAATATTACACCCAGGAAAACAACGAATACACATACTTTCCCCGCTGTACATCACAATATACAGCACACAGCTGAAAAACAAAACACAGTTCCACTTGTTTTCCTTACATTTTTAAGCTGCAATGTAGCATGTGAGTGTCTGTGTTGAGTGATTCCTGCTGAGTGTGTGTGACTGTCAGAGATCATGTTTACACAACAGTGTGAGAAGTCACACACTCCGAGCAGAAACAGACTGTCAGCTGTTCTGGAGATGGATGCTGTTTCCTGTCATGTAATGTCATTGCGTGTTTTCCTCTGTTTCCCAGGAGCTCAGAATGAGATGGCCACACACCCCGGTTACTACGGCAACCTGGTGGAGCAGGCGATGGGGAGATGCACCCTAGCGACAGAAGAGATCGAGCGAGACCTGCACCGCTCCATGCCGGAGCACCACGCTTTCCAGAACGAGACGGGCATCGCTGCGCTCAGACGAGTGCTGACAGCTTACGCTTACAGAAACCCCGGCATTGGATACTGCCAGGTGCACACACACACACACACACACACACACACACACACACACACACAAACACACACAAACACACACACACACACAAACACACAGATATAGGCTCACACACACAGACATACACTCTAACATGCACACGCACACACAATCATGTTCATACACACATACTAATGCAGTCCCACAATCACACACACACACACACACACACACGTGCACACACACGTGCACACACTCGTGCACTCTCTCGTGTGCACAAATAAACATTCTCACATGCGCACACACACACACACAAAAACACAGATATAGGCTCACACACACAGACATACACTCTAACATGCACACACACACACACAATCATGTGCATACACACATACTAATTTAGTCCCACAATCACACACACACACACATGCACACACACAGACATGCACTCTCACATGTGCACAAATAAACATTCTCACATGCGCACACACACACACACACACACACACACACAAACACACACAAGCACACAGATATAGGCTCACACACACAGACATACACTCTAACATGCACACGCACACACAATCATGTGCATACACACATACTAATTTAGTCCCACAATCACACACACACACACACACACACACACACACGTGCACACACACAGACATGCACACACACAGACATGCACTCTCACATGTGCACAAATAAACATTCTCACATGCGCACACACACACACACACACACACAAACACACACAAACACACAGATATAGGCTCACACACACAGACATACACTCTAACATGCACACGCACACACAATCATGTGCATACACACATACTAATGCAGTCCCACAATCTCACACACACACACAAACACACACACACACACACACACGTGCACACACACGTGCACTCTCACGTGTGCACAAATAAACATTCTCACATGCGCACACACACACACACACACACAGACAGACAGACATACACACTCAAATGGATAGACACACACACATACACTCACATGCACACACTCAGTCACATACACAAACAGACATGTGACACACACAAAACACACTTATGCACACACACGCAGTTATGCATTTATATTCACACACAGTCACACTCTCTCTCTCTCTCTCTCTCGCTCTCTTAAACAGACACACACACACATGCGCGCACACGCACAGTCGCCCCAAAAAATATCTGGAAACTCAAACCACAGTTATCTAAACATGTCATCATCACAGTGTTCCTGTGTCACTTATAAACACGCAATAAGAGGGATGACATGAGAGAGAGATGATTTACTGCCTTTCCCATCATATATTACAGCAGACATTACAGATCATGTTGAAAAATCATTTAAAAATTAAATAATGCGTAATAATTACATAATAAAAAAATATTAATAATAATAATTAGCCAGTTCTAGAGTAACCGGGGATTGTATAATGTCGCTCTTTTTGTTGGTTGTTGCTAGAAGGGATGCAGCTTCAGCTGGAATTTACAGAGAATTATTTGAACTATTCATTAAATTATCCAAAAATTGTCTCTTATTAACGTCTAAGTTTAACCCTGTGTGGCTGTCTGTGTCTCTGCATGTCTCTGTGCTTGTGTGTCTGTGTGTGTGTCTCCAGGCGATGAACATCGTGACGTCAGTGTTGTTGTTGTACTGCACTGAAGAGGAGGCGTTCTGGCTGCTGGTGGCGCTGTGTGAGCGGATGCTGCCCGACTATTACAACACTCGAGTTGTAGGTCAGTCACATTCACACACTCGCAAATCTTTTTTTAATGAAGTAAACCCATGCTAAAGAGATGTTAAGCAAAGATTTTTTTATCGTATCGTACGTTACAAATCTCATCTACTTTATCTTGATTTTTTTTTTTTGGTTGTGGTTTTTTGTTGTATTTTTTTCCTATTCATTTTGAATGCCTTTGTATATCATATTTTATCATATCATATGTATGTACCATATCACATACCTTAGGACATATCATATCACATCACATATTATACATATCATAACATGAGAGATGAATACGAGATAAATAATATGATTTTTGATATTATATATATATATATATATGAAAAACTTGTATATAAATACATATATTTTTATATACATACTGTATGTGATGTGATATGTAAAATAAAAATAAAAAATAAAATAAAAATAGATTTATGAATAATCAATTGTAAATGTTTATCTTTAATTATGGTGGATGTTTGCAAGATTATTCTAATATATATATATAAAAACTTGTATATAAATACATATTTTTATATACATACTGTATGTGATGTGATATGTGAGATGTGATATCATAGCTCATATAATGTATCATCATGTACCATGTTAAAAAATAAGATATATGCAATATGACATTTGGGATTAGTTATGGTATTATATGCGATATGATATTTGATGGATGTGTAATATTATGTGATGTAATATTTGGTAGATATGATATGAAGTGATTAGAATAGGATGTGATGTGATGTGATATGATAGGTTGTGATGTGATAGGATAGGATAGGATCTGACGTTTTGAGATAGGATGTGATGTGATAGGATGTGATGTTATGGTATAGGATGTGACAAGATGTGGTGTAATGTGATAAGATGTGATGTGAAGTTATAGGATGTGATGTTTCGGGATAGGATGCGATGTGATATGTGATGTGATGTGATTGGATAGGATGTGATAAGATGTGATGTAATGTGATCTGGTAGGATGTGAAGGTATGGGATAGGATGTGATGTGGTAGGATTTGATGTGATATGATAGGATGTGATGTGATAGGATGTGATGTGGTAGGATTTGATGTGATATGATAGGATGTGATGTGATAGGATGTGAAGTGGAAGGATGTGAGGATGTAATGTTATATGATAGGATGTGATTTGATAGGATAGGATATGATGTTATGGGATAGGATGTGATATAATAGGATGTTAAATAATGGGATAGAATGTGATGTGATATGTCATAGGGTGTGATAAGATGTGATGTAATCGAATAGGATGTGATAAGATGATGTGGTAGGATGTGATATGAAAGGATGTGAAGTGGAAGGATGTGATAGGATAGGGTGTGATAAGATGTGATGTGATAGGATGTGATGTGATGTAATGTAGTCGGATAGGATGTGATAAGATGATGTGATGTGATAGGATAGGGTGTGATGTTTTGGGATAGGATGTGATGTGATATGTAATAGGATGTGATGTGATGTGATAGGATGTAATGTGATATGTGATGTGATTTGCTATGCGATAGGATGTGTTGTAATATAATAGGATGGGATGTGAAAAGATGTGATGGGATAGGATGTGATGTGAAAGGATAGGATGTGATGTGATCTGTTCTGTTCTGATTTGTTCTGTTATATCCCATCAGGAGCACTGGTAGATCAGGGTGTGTTTGAGGAGCTGACGCGTGAGTGTTTGCCGCTGCTGTATGAACACATGCAGGATCTGGGCGTGATCTCCACCATCTCGCTGTCCTGGTTCCTCACACTCTTCCTCTCCGTCATGCCATTCGACAGCGCTGTGCTGCTGGTCGACTGCTTCTTCTACGAGGGCATCAAAGTCATCTTCCAGGTGCGCATTAGCAGCTCTTTTACATACATACAGGAATTTTTCTTTATTTTTATTACAGAAATAGAATGTAATTATCATCTAAAATCAATCAAGGTCTTAAAGATCTAATTAATCTTAATTCTTCAGTTAGATTTCAGAAACATCTCATTTAAATTGTACATGTTATGTATTTGAATGTAAGTTATTTTCCAAATATTTCTTAAGAGTTAAGTAAGAAGATTTCTTTGACACATTTTAAACATAATAGTTTTCATTTCTAATAACTAATCACTTTAACTTTTGTTTTGTTTTGTTTTCAGGTGTCATTAGCTGTGCTACATGCTAACATGGATCAACTGCTGTCCTGTTCAGATGAAGGAGAAGCCATGACTATTCTGGGCCGGTGAGACTGACTAAATAATAAAGCATGATATAGTTGATCGCATAAACAAACAAATTGTGACACATTATCATTTTAATAGTTTTGAATTTTACATTAGCATTAACCAAAGAATGACTTTTGTCTACCTTTACACTTTTACAGCATCCCTTCAGAGCTTCATCATTCATTCATTCATTCATTTTCATTCGGCTTTGATTTGTCAGGGGTTGCCACGTAGTGGAATGAACTGCCTAGCTCCATCATATTATGATTAATCATTACATATATATATATATATATATATATATATATATATATATATATATATATATATATATATATATATATATATATATATATATATATATATGTATATATATATATTAGAATAATCTTGCAAACATCCAGCATAATTAAAGATAAACATTTACAATTGATTATTCATAAATCTATTTTTATTTTATTTTTTATTTTTATTTTTTATATTTCATTTTTTATTTAATTTATTTACTTATTTAGTCACTTAATTTTATTTATTATATTTATCATTTTTATAGATATATTAAATGTTTTATTTTATTTTTACATTTTATTTATTTAATTTTTCACTTATTTTTATTAATATTTTTTTGATATTTTATTTTAATTATTTAATTTTATTTATTAATTTATTTAATTTCATATTACTATTATTATTATTATTATTATTTAAATTTGTATTTATTTATTTATTCATTTATTTTTATTTATTTAGTTTTTTATTCTTTATATTTAGAATTTTTTTTTAGTTTAGTTTAGTTTAGTCACCAGACTTTATTGTTCATTTCCAGAACCTTTGCTTTCTCTGTCCCGCAGTGATGAATTGATCTAAAGTCTTTATTTTTATTCGTTTATCTCACAGTTTCAGTCGAGTTTTTTAAAACTACAGAAAAACTTATAATAAAACACAGCATTTATAAGCAATCCCACTAAGACTTACTTGGAGTTTCAGAGTAAAGCATTATTAGTGCTAGGCAGTAAGTAATCGTGATTAATCGCATTCGAAATAAAAGTGTGTTTTGAGATATTATATTTGTTTGTACTGTGTTTATTTATTATGTAAGTGATGTGACTATTGCGGATTGTGATATCGATGCTCAATATGGTATTGTTCAGCCGTAGTTTGTGTCTGTTTGTGTCCTGCAGGTATCTGGATAATGTTGTGAATAAGCAGACCGTTTCTCCACCCATTCCCCACCTTCACGCCCTGTTGACCAGTGGCAACAACCCTCCACCTGAGATCGACGTCTTTGAGCTCATTAAAGCGTCCTATGAGGTGAGTAAATAAATATAGAATTATAAAAAAACTAATAACTAACATTGTAAACATCTTTATAGAAGTTCACATTGTTGTCGCAAATTAAATATAATACAGAAAACATGACTTAAATGTGTTCCAGTACATCAGATATTATTTAAGTCATTCAATTATACTTCTCCAGTTAATAATTGGTTTCTCCAGTCCACCATTTTTGTAGTTTATTAACACCTTTTGCCCGCTTTTGTAGTTCTAAATGACTTCTAAAACAAAATATATTCTCTGGCCAGTGATAGCCATTAGCATTAGCACAGATATTCCCTTTTAAATTTCTTCCAGAAGTAGTAGATCAGCTTTGGATTTAATTGGATTATGATTTGGGACACGATTGTTTTATTTTCGGCTACTGGGAAAGTATGTGATTTGGAACGCAGCCGCAGTGTTGCTCTTCTTAACTCAATGTGTTGTTTTTGTCTGAATGCAGAAGTTCGGGAGTCTGCGCGCTGACGTCATTGAACAGATGAGGTTCAAGCAAAGGTTAAAGGTCATCCAGTCGCTTGAAGACACAGCCAAGAGGAGTGTGGTAAGTGTGTGGACATCAGGAGATTATATATCACGATTGTAATCAGCTATAATGCATGATTGTGTTGTTCAGGTGAGAGCGATCATGACTGAGTCTGCTTTTACCATCGAGGAGCTGGAGGAGCTCTATGTACTTTTCAAGGTAAGATAATTGGCAAAACACATTTATTTATTTATTAGTAATTAAGTATATGTAATTAATTTAATATAAGTAATTAATATTTATATTATTTTATGTAAATGGACAATGTTTTTATCTATGTATTTATATTTTAAAGAAAGTACCTGAGTGTATTTAGGAAATTTTGTTTAGTTTTAATGTTAAATATTTAATTAATGTTTTTAAATAACTAATAACCGACTCTTAAAATTAAAAAAGTATTAATAATAATTGCAAGAATTATTGATTTAACAGTTTTTCATGAGCATAGCCTTGCTGCAACTGCTATTTATCTATTAAGTGAATATGTATGTATAATAAGATGTTATTTTTTCCAAAATATGTAGTGCTCATTTCATATTTTATCAATAATTATCAAAGTAATACTAACGATATATTTTTATATATATATTTATTATATATTATTCCAGAGTTTAAATCAAATTTTATATCCACATATTTATTTATTATTTTTTCCTGCAATTTAATATCTATTTTAATTATAATATTAATAAAATATGATAGATTATAATTGGCGGCACTGTGGTTAGTACTGTCCCCTCACAGCAAGAAGGTCGCTGGTTTGAGTCCGGGCTGGGTCCGTTGGCGTTTCCGTGTTTGCATGTTCTCCCCGTGTTGGCGTGGGTTTCCTCCGGGTGCTTCGGTTTCCCCCACAGTCCAAACACATGCGCTATAGGGGAACTGATCAACTAAATTAGTATGTGAGTGTGTGTGAACGAGTGTGTGTGTGTGGGTGTTTCCCAGTACTGGGTTGCAACTGGAAGGGCATCCGCTGTGTAAAACATATGCTAAATAAGTTGGCGGTTCATTCTGCTGTGGCGACCACTAATGAATAAAGGGACTAAGCCAGAGGAAAATGATTGAATACAGTTTACAATGTACTTTAATGTCACTCACAATAAAAACATATTAATATAATACAGTGGAGTTCTAAAAATATTTTATTGCAAATTAATTTAAAGGGAGCTAATGATATTGATGTTAAAAATGTTTTTAAGAAATGTAACTATTTAGTCTGACCAAACAATTTTTCCAGAAGAAAATAAGTTATAGGAAATACTTTGAAAAATGTCCTTAATGTGAAATATATATATATATATATATATATATATATATATATATATATATATATATATATATATATATATATATATATATATATATATATATATATATAAAGAATATTAATTTCAGAGTAGGGCTAATCATTTTGACTTTAACTGTTTATACACACATACACACACTAATATTGCATGCTGTCATCGTGTCCAGCTGCCATTATGTATGTAATCGTGCGCATGTAAAGTTGAAGTCAGAATTATTCACCCCCTTTAAATTTGTGTTTCTTTTTTAAATATTTGCCAAATGATGTTTAACAGAGCAAGGAAATTTTCACAGTATGTCTGATAATATTTTTTCTTCTGGAGAAAGTCTTATTTGTTTTATTTCGGCTTGAATATTAGCAGTTTTCAATTTTTTAAACACCATTTTAAGGACAAAATTATTAGCCCCTTTAAGCTACTAATTTATATACAATCACTTGCCTAATTACCCTAACCTGCCTAGTTAACCTAATTAACCTAGTTAAGCCTTTAAATGTCACTTTAAGCTGTATAGAAGTGTCTTGAAAAAATATTTAAAAATATTATTTACTGTCATCATGGCAAAGATGAAAGAAATCAGTTATTAGAGATGAGTTATTAACACTATTATGATTAGAAATGTGTTGAAAGAATCTTCTCTCCGTTAAACAGAAATTGGGAAAAAATAAACAGGTGGGCTAATAATTCTGACTTCAACTGTATATGTGTGTGTGTTTTTCCCAGGCGAAGCACATCATGAGTTGTTACTGGGGTGCGAGCAGCACGCCGGCGGAGCGCCACGACCCGAGTCTGCCGTATCTGGAGCAGTACCGCATAGACTGTGGGCAGTTCGTCCAGCTCTTCTCGGCTCTGGCTCCATGGAGCTGCGGCCTGCACACGCACACACTGTCCAGCCGCCTCTTCCGTCTGCTCGACCACAACAAAGACTCGCTCATCAACTTCAAAGAGTTCGTCACCGGACTCAGTGCGTACATCAGCAAAATACCTTACACCCATTTCATTCAGTCAGGTTTAAAATCATAATAAGCAGAATGAGCGTTATTCGGCAAGTATGCACACACACAGGAGTTACTAATTGTGGTTTACAGGAGCTTAAGGGTAAATACACACACACGCACACACACACACACACACATACATGCATGCATACACGCATACATACACTCATACAAACGTGCATGCATACACACATGCGTACACACATACATGCGTTTACACATACATTCATACATGCACACACACATACATACATACATACATACACACTTACATATGTATACACATGCATACATACACGCATGCACATACATGCATACTTACACATACATACAAACAAACGCACAAGAATACATACAACGCATAGATACATGCAGAAACACATACATGCATACACAGATACATAAGGACATTTAAATAAGTGAAAGTAAAATAAACAATAAAATATATATTATATCTAGATGATTTTTGTGCAATATGTGCATTATTGACTGAAAGAAAATACAAATAAGTGGCTTCATTGGTTAACGAAACTATAAACAGTAAGGGTATATAATAAAATAAATGATAATATAATGTAGTGTAATATAATATTATGTAATATAATAAAATGTACTGTAGTTTAATAGTGTCCTATAATATAATATAATATAATATAATATAATATAATATAATATAATATAATATAATATAATATAATATAATATAATTCAATTTAATATAATATAATATAATATAATATAATATAATATAATATATTTTAATATAATATAATAATATAAATTAAACTAATATAATATTATAATTTAATATAATATTTTTTGATATAATATAATATAATATAATAATATATTTTAATATAGTTTAATCTAATACAGTATAATATATTTTAATATAATATAATATAATAATATAAATTAAATTAATATAATAATATAATTTAATATAATATATTTTTCATATAATATAATATATTTTAATATAATTCAATTTAATATAATATATTTTAATATAATAATATAAATTAAATTAATATAATAATACAATTTAATATATTTTAATTTAATTTAATACAATATAATATATTTTAATATAATATAATAATATAAATTAACTTAATATAATATAATTTAATATAATATATTTTAATATAATATAATAAAATAATTTAATATATTTTAATATAATTAAATTTAATATAATATAATATTATATATTTTTAATATAATATAATATAATAATATAAATTCAATTAATATAGTAATATAATATAATATAATATAATATAATATAATATTATATAATATAGTATAATAATTTAATATAATAATTTAATATAATAATTTAATATAATATAATGATGTCACTGAATCAAATAAATGTAGTCTTGATGAGCAGAAGAGACAAAGAGTAATAAACTTCAGCATCTTCGTCAGTTCTGAGCCGTCTTGTTTGTTTCTCTGGGTCAGGTGGGATGTATCATGGAGATATGACGGAGAAATTGAAGCTCCTCTACAAGCTGCACCTGCCTCCGGGTATGTGTACAGTCACACAACACTTTCATTTAACAGAACACAGCGAGAGTGCAGCAGAGTCCGCACAATGACAGTGACAGTGTTTATTAGTGCTTCATTAGTATCAATTGAGGAAGTGCGTGTGTGTCTGTGTGTGTGTGAACAACAGCACGGCATGAGGAAACCAGATCACTACTCTCAGCAAACACTTATCTCTCTTTGTGTGTATACCTATGAATGTGTGTGTGTGTGTATGCGGCTTACTAAAGTGAGAAAACTAGCACATTTGTTGTTCCTGTTCTGCATGTGTGAAGAAGACAGGACGTGTGTGTTTGCCTGTTTGTGTAGAGGGTGTGTATGTGAGTGTAATTTAAATGAGTCGATGTTGTGTTTCTGAAGCGTTGTGTCCAGAGGAAGCAGAGTCTGCACTGGAGGCCACACAGTTCTTCACTGATGACGATACACCTCAGGGTAAACACAAACACACACAAAAGCATGCATATACACACTTATATTATAAACACAAGCATGCATAGATGCAATATATACTCACACATGCATGCACCCCTCGCACACACAGATGTGCATACACACACACACACATATGTATAAATATACAGATGCATATGCACACATACATACACGTTAATGTGGGCACACAGCACAAACATAAATGTATACATGTACATATACACACACACGCATAAACACTCATATGCACACGGCATATATAAATATGTATATATAAAATTGACTGTATAATCGTGTGTGCATATAAGTGTTCAGGTGTGTATAAGTGCATGTGTACGTTCATATTTATCTGTAGGTGTGTTTCTGTAATCTTATTTTTCTTCAGGGGAGTCGTATTCTGCTGATATTGGGCTTGTATTTGTTTTAACACTGAGTGAATATTTAGTTTATTCAGAACAACGAATCTCAACAGTTTTAATTGTTGCTCAGCTCTTTCTTTAAATCTCAATAGTTTCTTCCTAATGAACATGTTTGCCTGTTCTGATCTCACCTGCATGTTGCTGTGAATGGTTCAGTCCAGACGGAAAACTACAGAACACCTTTATTCTTATTTAACTAATACTGCTCTTTCTTTCTTTCTTTTCTTTCTTTCTTTCTTTCTTTCTTTCTTTCTTTCTTTCTTTCTTTCTTTCTTTCTTTCTTTCTTTCTTTCTTTCTTTCTTCTTTTTGTCTTTTTTTCTTTCTGTTTGTCTTAATTTTCTTTTTAACTCTTTTCTTTTCTTTCTGTTGTTTTATCTGTTTCCTTTTTCTTTTGCTTCTTTTTGTGGCTCTTTCTTTCTTTCTTTCCTTTTTTGACTTTTTTCTTTATTTAATTTTCTCTTTTTCTTTTCTTTATTTTTTGCTTTTTTGTGGCTCTTTTTCTTTTTTGTCTTTCCCCTTTTTTCTTTCCTTTTATCCTTTTTTTGTTTTTTATGTCTTTCCATTCCCTTTTTCTTTTTGCCTCTTTCTTTACTTTCTCTTTTCTTTTCTTTTCTTTTCTTTTCTTTTTTCGGTCATATTATTTTCTTCTTTTTGCTCTTTCCTTTCTTTTCTTTTTTTCTTTCTTTTTGACTTTTTATTTATTTGATTTTCTCTCCTTTTCTTTTATTTCTTTTTTTCTCCTGTATTTTCCCCTTTTTCTTTCTCACCTTTTATCTTTCTTTTCATATTTTCTTATTATTATATTATATTATTCTTATTTCCTTTTCTCTTTCTTTGTTTTCCTTTGCTTCTTTCTTTTCCTTTTTGTTTCTTTTAATTTTTCCTTTTTTTATTCTTTTTGACTTTTTATTTATTTAATTTTCTCTTTTTCTTTTCTTTTCTTTTTTTCATTGCTTCTTTCTTTACTCTTTCTTTTTTTCTTCTTTTTTATTTGCTTTTTTCTTCGGCTCTTTTTTCGCCTTTTCCCCTTCTCTTTCTTTCCTTTTATCTTTCCTTTTCTTTTTATCTTTCTTCTTTTTAATTTATTTTTCTTTTCGTAATGTTTTTTCCTTTTCTCTTTGCTTCTTTCTTCTCCTTTTTCTTTCTTATTTTTGTTTTTCTTTTTATTTGCTTCTTTTTTGCTCTTTCTTTTTTCTTTCTTTTTGACTTTTTTTCTTTAATTTTCTCTCTTTTTATTTTCTTTTCTCTTTCATTTGGCTCTTTCTTTTTCTTTTCTATCTTCCCGTTTCTCTTTCTTTGCTTTTATCTTTCCTTTTCTTTTTATCTTTCTTTTTTATTTCTTCCTTTTTCATAATTTTTTTCTTTTCTTTTTGCTTCTTTCTTTCTTTCTTTCTTTCTTTGCTTGTTTTTTGCTCTTTTCTTTTTTTCTTGACTTTTTAACTTTTTGTTCTTTTTTTTCTTTTCTCTTTTCTTTGGCTCTTTTTTTTCTTTTCTGTCTTCCGCTTTTTCTTTCTTGCCTTTTACGTCTATTTTATTTATATTTCTTTTTGTTATTTTTTCTTTTCCTTCTTTCCTTTCTTTTGCTCATTCTGTCTTTCTTTTTTGCTCTCTCTCTCTCTCTCTCTCTCTCTCTCTATCTTGCTCTCTCTCTCATCTCATCACTCCAGATCCTCCCTTCCTGTCTCATCTGGACTTCCTGGCACAGGAAGTGACCTCAGGTTTGTGTCTGTGTTTCTCTGATGGGGTTTTTGAGTGTTTCTTTATTTTCATCTCCGCCTCTGCTGTCAGCTCAGGTGTTTTCCCAGGCTGCATCATTTCACCTGCACACTTTCACACGATTTTATCTCACCTTTGTGGTGTGTGTGTGTGTGGGTGTGTGTGTCTATAAGCATGCATCTTGAAGCCCTTCTGCTGGACACTTTACAGTGGTTTACTATGGCTGAAGGTGTTTATTAAATGAAAGCATGATTAATGTGTGAACAGGTGAAGAGCTGAAGGAGGCTGGAGACTCGGCAGCAGCCGGAGACACAGACGATAGGAAAGGTGAAGCACAAACAAACCATCAATGATTCCTCTTCATTACTGAGATGGTTATTATTGTCTCACCACCATCGCCTCGCGTGTGTGTTTTACAGAGGAAAAGCCGAAGGACTATAAATACTATCTGAGAATGTGGGCGAAAGAAAAAGAGCCAAAGAAAAAGAGCATCAAAGATCTGCCCCGGATGAACCAGGTGACTGATGTTCACCATTGAGGAGTCCAGTTTCTGACATTCATTCATTCATTTTCTTGCAAAAAAAGCAATGCATTTTTTAGCTATTGTCAGCAACATTTCAGTGAGTTTAACAGCATAATTATGCTGGAGGTTTGAATTTGTGTAATTGCCCAATAAACATATCTCTGGATCCAATGGATAATCAATTCCATGAATCTGTGATATAATATTGCCTAAATGCGCATTTTAATTGGATGTTTGATGTAATCTCAACCAAAACAAGAAGAGAGAGGGCGGGACATAGTAGCTCCTCCCCCGTTTTACAAAAACAGCCAATAGTGCCTTGTTTGATCACAGCTCTGCCAGTGAGAGTGTTTCACCTTAAGCGCATCAAATGAAAAGCCAATGAGAAGAAGGGGGCAGGGCATGTCAGAGACAATCAGCATCCGATTGGTTAGAAGATTTGATAAGACACTGAACCGAGAGGTGATTGATTCATTTAGGTGGAAGTGACAAGCTCTTCTAAGCGCGAATTTTGGAGCGCACTAGATTATAGATCTTCTTAAATCTCCTTAAATATGCTTACGAAAATCTTACTTTACGAGCCGTTTAATATAAAGTAGCACATAAATCTAATTCGGTCTAATTTCTGTGCATTTCAGGAGCAGTTCATCGAGATGTGCAAAACCCTGTACAACATGTTCAGCGAGGATCCGCTGGAGCAGGAGCTTTACCACGGCATCGCCACCGTGGCCAGTCTGCTACTGCGCATCGGAGAGGTGGGCAAGAAATTCACAAACAACGGCAGCAAGAAAGCCGAAGCCCCGGCGGACGCTTCTCAGCCTGAAAAAGAAGACTCATCTGGGGAGGGCGGATCAGGGCTGTCCCTGGTGTCCAAGGCCCTGGCGGAGGCTCAGATGGAGACACCTCCACCCACTGCCAATGGATCTGACGAGGAAGCAAAAGACGACACCTCCGTCTCATCCTACTCTGTGGTCAGCGCTGGGTCGTTGCAGTGTGAAGATATAGCCGACGACACTGTTCTGATTGGCTGTGTAGGCGGAGAAGGGGCAGGGCGTAGGCGGGGCAGCGCGCCGGATGCTGATTGGTCCATCACGTTCGAGCAGGTTTTAGCATCCTTCCTTACTGAAGCCTCATTGGTCGACTACTTTGAGAAAAAGCACGACATCCAGAGCAAGATAACGGCATGCAAATCACTGAGAGCCGTGGAGAGACAGACAAGTTCATCCAGCGATCACGATTTCTCTCTGAACACACACTGATGAGGTATTAAAGCATGCATGAACATGTAAACACACACATATTCATGCAAAGCAAATGAGTGTGTGTGTGTGTGTGTCCTCGTGCTACAATGCAGAAATTGTGTTTTATTTGTTAGCTCAGTGCATTTGTCTTGCTTTCCAGTACTAATGTGTTTACGTTCTTAAAGGGGTAGTTCACCTGAAAATTAAATTAAAATGAATGCATCCGGATTTTAAGGGACAGATCACTTAAACATGACCTCATTGTTTATTTCCACTCATGTGGTTTTAAACCTTTGAGTTTTGTTCTTCTTATTAACACAAAAGAAGATGTTTTGAAAAAATGCTGGCACTTATTGACTTCCATAGCTGGATATATACTTCTATGGAAGTCAATTGGTGCCAAAAAGGTTTAAACATCTCCTTTTGTATACATAGGAAGAAAAAAATTAATTGGTTTAACATATTTGGTAGAAAGAAGTTTCCTTTAGGTGATGATGAAGAGTTCACCTCATAGTGTCTGTTTGCATGTGGTTTTAAACCTATGAGTTTCTTTCTTCTGTTGAACACAAAATATGTTTTGAAAAATGCTGGCACTTATTGACCTCCATAGCAGGATATAAGCTTCTATGGAAGTCAAATGGTGCCAAAAAAGTAAAACATATCCTTTTCTGTTCATAAAAAGAAACTCATTTGTTTAACATGTTTGGCAGAAGAAAGTGTCATTTAAGTGAAGATGAAGAGTTCACCTCATAGTGTCTGTTTGCATGTGGTTTTAAACCACTGAGTTTCTTCTGTTGATCACAAAAGAAGATGTTTTGAAAAATGCTGGCACTTATTGACTTCCATAGCAGGATATCAGCTTCTATGGAAGTCAATAAGTGCCAAAAAATGTAAAACATATCCTTTTGTGTTCATAAGAAGAAAGAAATTCATTGGTTTAACATGTTTGGCTGAAAGAAGTGTCCTTTAGGTGAAGATGAAGAGTTCACCTCATAGTGTCTGTTTGCATTCACTTGAAATCCATCTTAAAGAGACAGTACACAATAAACATTATCAAATGGTTTATTCTCACTCATGTGGTTTTAAACAACTAAGTTTCTTCTGTTGATCAAAAAAGAAAATGTTTTTAAAAATGCTGGCACTTATTTACTTCCATAGCTGGAAATAAGCTTCTATGGAAGTCAATTGGTGCCAAAAATGTAAAACATCTCCTTTTGTGTTCATAAGAAGAAAGAAACTCATTGGTTTAACATATTTGGCAGAAAGAAGTGAAGATGAAGAGTTCACCTCATAGTGTCTGTTCACATGTGGTTTTAAAACCACTGAGATTCTTCTGTTGATCACAAAAGATGATGTTTGGGAAAATTTTTGGCACTTATTGACTTCCATAGCAGGATATAAGCTCTATGGAGGTCAATAAGTGCCAAAAAATGTAAAACATCTCCTTTTGTGTACATAAAAAGAAAAAAACTCATCGGTTTTTAATCAAATGAGGGAGAATAAACAATGCTGTCATTTTTTTTTTTTTGTGTGTACTGTCCCTTTAAATCCAGATGCATTCATTTAAGGGAAGAATTAGGTCTAGTTTGCTTTAAAAATAATGCTTGAAATAAGAACAAAACGTGCCTAGTTTAAAAAATAAATAAATTTAAGCACACAAAAATAATTTTGCCTTCAATTCTTATCTTGATTTAAGAGCGTTTAGATGTTGATACTGGAAAATGTGACAGAAATACTGAGCAGGTCGCTTTTCCTGCAGTGCAGTAATAGTATCTGTGTCATAGATGTGTTTAAAAGGGGGTTATAGCTTATCACGCTCCTGGTTTTGCATCATTTGAACACATTTACTAGCAGGAATGGAGGATTATGGGATGTATATCTTCAGGACTTGCGTATATGAAACTCAGATCAACAAATGAATCGTCACACTAAACATAGGATTTGCACACTCGTCTTGAGTCCCCGGTTTGAATGAGTTTGTTTTTTTTCCTCACACTAAAAATGTCCGTCACTAATGCTTTCTTGCACGTTTGCTATAGCTGGATATATATATATGTTAGGATATCTCAGTGTATTTGGCAGAAAGAAGTGTCCTTTAGGTGAAGATGAAGAGTTCACCTCATAGTGTCTGTTTGCATTCACTTGAAATCCATCTTAAAGGGACAGTACACCCCAAAAAAAGTAATTTCCTCATCTTCCTTTTGCTCCAAACCTGTTTGAGCTTCTTCTTCTGTTGAACACAAAGGGAGAGATGCTAAAAAATGCTATTTAATTCCATTTTGTTCTGCTATGAGTGTCATTGTCAGCTTTTTTGCTTGTTTTACAGTACGTTCAACAGAGGAAAGAAGTTCACAACCACTTGAGTATGAGTTAATGAGGACGTTTGTAACACTATGCTTGAAGAGATGTTGATAAGACTGCCATGAAACCTGTATGATCATGTCATGAATGTGATTGAGATGTTATGCATGCTTATGACTACTGTTATTAGGTGTCATTCGCTCAGTTCTGGCATTTTAAAAGCAAAAATGACATTGTTTGTTATGACAACTTGACATAAACAAATGCATCACCGCCTATTTTTGTTTTTATGACAACTTGACATTACCAAGACAGCAAAACTTGTCATAAACATGATTGTAATAAAGCAATTATAATTACAGGATGAATTTTATAACAGCGTCATTAATATTTTTACAGTGGTACAAGCTGAGTTTGGCATTAAGATGTCATTAAATATTAATGACGCTGTTAAAAATTATTTGACAGAGTGATGACAGTTTTAATAAGACATTTTAATGACAAATACAGTGAAAATGTGATGGGAAAAACATGTATGACACAAATTCATGTTTATGACAGAGTTATGACAAGTTTGGTTGTCTTGATAATGTTAATTTGTTAACAAAACTGAGCAAATGACACTAAATAACAGGTGTCATAAGCATCTCATTCACGTTCATGCTTGTGTCATGATTATAACGGTCTTATAAACGGTCTTTCTAACTTTAAGTGTTACTAGAAACTTTTAATTTCAGGTGATCTGTCCCTTTAAAAAAATGGCATTTTTAAGTAGGTCATTGCCTTACTGGAACGATCAGATGTTTACCGCTAGCTGAGGAAGAAAAGTCGCACATGTTTGTTGTGGTTTTTGCGAATCGGTCATCATTGCGTTGGATGTTTGGTTGCCTGAATGTTCCCACTCATCCAAAACACAACATGTGAGAAAATGTAGCCTATTCTTTTAGCACTACTATGGCCTTTACAGCGTATGGTAGGACACGTTTCTAACTCATTCTCTCTGATGTTTGTGTAGTCAGGCCAGAGTAAGTACAATCATGGGCTTCATTCAGTAAACTAAAGCAGAGCCAGTTTGTTTACATCACTCATAAAAGCATGTGAGATTCAATTAAATATGTTGAGTTGAAATCAAATATTTTAATCTCATTTATTTTAATGACTTACATTTCTTAATATGCTTAATATTTTGCTTTAATTTAAAATATAAAACCTAGATTATAATTTTTTTTTATCTTAAATTTTGGGATTTTTTATTTTTTTGTCTGAATTAATGTAAATATTTCTGTTAACACACTTTATAACTACACACTGTCAGTCATTTAATAAGCATTAGCAAATAGTGAGTTCATTATCTGTTAAGGATTAACATTAATAGATGTAAGTAGGCAGTTTATACAAACGCTCTATTCTTGACTTATACGCACACTTAAAATGTGTTTAATAATTGTACTGTCATACTTTAATTATAATTTTTTCATGACTAAATTAAACATTGCAACATTTACAATCAGTTATTTAAATGAGATTCCGTTTTTTTTTAGATTATTTAGAATGCAAAAGTAAACGATTAATAAACTATTAAAATTAACATTTATATATTTTATTATTCAGGCATATACTAATAGTCAATTTGCATGTTAATAAATGCTTTATTAACTCAACTTCATCCAGTTTTGTGACCTAATCTAAAGCGAGGACTGTTTATGCTTTATAAATCTCTTATAAATGACAATTAAAGGCTCAGTTATATTCTAAACAGGAAAAAAGAAAATAAGCGACCTTATTCAATTCTATTCATTTAAAGATACAAAAATAAAATGTTAAATGAAATATAAATATAATAACTAAAATAAAATTACCGTACAATTTAGACATGGCTTAATAACGTTGAAATGATGTAATATAGTGTTAAATTATTATATTGCTTCATCCAATTTTTACAGTAATTTTATTCAGTGGCGCAAAAAGGGGGTATGCAGTATATGCGGCGCATAGGGGCGCCACACATGGGGGGGGGGCGCCATTGTGCCAAAACTATTTTTAAAATTACACTTATTAAAAGTTTTAAATAATAAAAATAAATAAATATGTTTTGTTAAAAAATGTATTTTGCATTTTATAAAAATATAACATTGTTATTGTGTAATTCAAAATCATTTAACACAATAACATGCAGTCACACAGCCGAAAGTGTTCATGTAGATGTAACTGTTTAGATTTGTTTTTATTTTTATTAAAATAAACTGTCAAATCATACATAATGTCAAAAGTTATAAGGTTAATCTGAAAATTTGTCTTCATTTATTATTAATTAATTAATTAAATTATTAGTTTGCCAAAATAAGAGGGATCACACAAAATTTGAACCCGCATACCCCTCAGTAAATGTGTAGTTGCGCCCCTGATTTTATTTTAAGATAATTGTCGTATCTTAGGGATTTACGAAGCATAAATAGTCCTCACCTAAGATTGGGTCACAAAACTGCATCAAGTTGTGTTAAAAAAGCATTTATAAACATACATAGGAACCCTTACTACACACTATACATTTACTATTATATACAAGATGTATAAACAAGTTGATTTCAATAGTTTATTAATCATTCACTTATTCTGAATGATGTTAAAAACCTTCAACTACTCTTAAATACAACGGGTTTGTCAATAATACCATACTTAATTTAGTAATGAAAGATAAATCACTCAAAAATATGAAAATACAATCACACAACAAGTCAAGAATTTGTTTTATATTATAAACTGCTTACTAACGTTTATTAATGTAGAGTTAATGCTTTACAGAAAATGCATTTACTATATGCCATTGCTTAAAAAATGCTTCAAAGTGTGAAATAATGCAATGTTTAATTTAGTCTTGAAAAATTAATCAGCAACAAAGTATGAAAGTACAATAATTAAAAATCAGGAATACAGCATTTGTGTCTGCAGTGCAGTTATAGATGGAAGGTAAATCCTGCCAATTTTAAATAAATCAAATAAACATTGGAAATGAAAATGAAAATCAGATTAACAATTTCATTTTAAAACACTGTTCGCAAAATATCTGCCAAAATTGAAAACGAAATGAAATTATTTAATTTTCATTTTCACTTTGACAATACATCGTCCCTGTCAAGTTGATAATTACAATGAAGTTGCCAATTTAACATATAATTATCACTGCATTTCCGCGTCGAGACTGCCAATGTTAAAATGAAAAGCCAAACTGAAAAATAAAATGCAAACACAATTTTTACAAAGCGTGGTATTAATGTTCACGCTATAATAGTGACACAATTCAAATGAAAATGTAAATTTAAGCTTTCCTTTTATTGACACTTTTTCATTTCAGTTTTCATTTTCGATTTCATTTTCAACTTCAAGCTGTATGCAAAGCATATGCTAATCAGTGGGAGGGGCGTATTCAAATGACGTAGAGTGCTTTCACTGTGACAGAGCCCAAGGGTAGAAGCACGGTTTTGATGGATGGGACAGCGTGAGTTACTATAAATAAAAGGAAAGCTTAAATTTACATTTGAATTTGAATTGTGTCACTATTATAGCGTGAAAATTAATAACACGCTTTGTAAAAATTGTGTTTGCATTTTATTTTTCTGTTTGGCTTTTTATTTTAATATTGGCAGTCTTGACGCAGAAATGCAGTGAAAATGAAATGTTAAATTGGCAACTTCATTTTAATTATCAACTTGACAGGAACGATGCGTTGTCAAAGTGAAAATGAAAATTAAATAATTTCATTTCGTTTTCAGTTTTGGCAGATATTTTGCGAACGGTGTTTTAAAATGAAATTGTTAATCTGATTTTCATTTTCATTTCCAATGTTTATTTGATTTATTTAAAATTGGCAGGATTTACCTTCCATAGTTATAAACTGCTTACTAACGTCTATTAATGTAGAGTTAATGCTTTAAAAAAATAATGAGTTCACTATTCGCTCATGCTTAATAGATGATTGATAGTGTGTCGTTATTATAAAGTGCTACCAAATTTCTTCATGAATGAGTTTTGCTTGTGTTTTATTAATGAAGCCCTGTTACGTTTATTTTAGATTATGCAGTATATGTTGCCAACTATATTTCCGTTTCTTGATCGCTTAGTTTTCTTTTAATATTGATCGATGATTCCTGGAGAATTCCTCATTTGTGCTTTAGATCAGGGATGTCAAACTCAATTCCTGGAGGGCCGCAGCTCTGCACAGCTTAGTTCCAACCCTAATTAAACACACCTGATCAAAATAATCAAGTCCTTCCGGCTTGTTTGAAGCAGGGTTGGAACTAAACTGCAGGCTGCAGCCCTCCAGGAATTAAGTTTGACATCCCTGCTTGAGATCATAGGTCTCAAATTCCTGGATGGGCCGCAGCTCTGCACTGTTCTGCTTCAACCCTAATCAAACAGCTGATCTAGTAGTGTCTAATAGTCTTGAACACCTTGATTAGTAGGATCAGATGTGTTCGAATAGTGTTGGAGCAAAGCTGTGCAGAGCTGCGGCCCTCCAGGAGTTGAGTTTGAATGCTTTAGATCAGGGGTGGCCAATCCTGTTCCTGGAGATCTACCTTCCTGCAGATTTCAGTTGCTGCCCATATCAAACACACCTGAACCAATTAATTAGGGCCTGAACACCACGTGATAATTACAGGCAGGTGTGTTTGATACGGGTAGCAACTGAAATCTGCAGGAAGGTAGATCTCCAGGAACAGGGTTGGCCACCCCTGCTTTGGATTATTTTAAAGAGAGAGCTTGCCCACATCACAAGTCTTTAGTTTAATCCCGTACAATGTAAATAGTTGCGTATCATGTTCTAGTATTAGAGGTTTTACTGTCAGATTGTTTGCAATCAACACTCATGTTGGTTTTCCGTCACGTCCGCTTTGCTTTGTCCCGTTTCTTTTCTTTGTGTGCTTTTTAACAGTTGCTTTTGTACTGAATAAACTAGCTTTAAATGAAAAGCCTTTTCAGATAGGCTTCAGTGTTAATCCTCAGAGCTTTACAACACTGTGATTTTAAATGTGATTTAAGATCACGGACGCAGCATTCAAATCTGTACAAACGTTTTTAAAATTGGATTCTAGCTGCAGATGGACACGTCGCACACCGCTATCTTACGCACTTTTGTCATTTTATTGTCGGTCTGAATGTGAACGAACCTCCCGCTCTTGACCTTCGTCTTACTGTGAAAATAACTGGCTTCACTTCGCTGTGTTTCTAATTAACCGTGTTAGCATCTTTACTCTTTATTCTCCTGCTGGAGAGTTTCTGCGTCTGCGTGCGACCTGCGACGGTCGCCTGACGTTCACTCATCTAAAAGTTGTTTTAAAACTTATCGTCATCCGACCAGTATTGTGTAATATGATGTAATAAAAATCAAGCTATTGAACATTCGAGTGTGTTGTTTTTCTGTTTCTCTCTCCATGAATATCCACTTCAGTCATGCCCAGTTCCTGCACGGTTTTAGCCAACCCGGGCTCATTGTGGAAACGTAGCCCCGCGGACGTTTCTGCGGACCGCGAATTACGTCCCGGGAGGTACGTATTCAAACGTTTTTTTTGTTTTTGCGGATCCGCGAGAGGCCGCTGTGCGCGCTTTTTCGCGTCTCGGGCGGGCGCCTCTCTGGAGCGCGCGGCGTTCGCGCCCGCGCCGTTCTAGCGCGAAAAGCCGCCGGATCGGGGAAAAAAAAAAAAAAAAAAGCAAAAGCTCTCGTCTTCGATTTCGACCGCGTTTTCGGATCCCGCCGCGTTCTCGCCCTTATTTTTCGGATTCCGTTTTTCGTCTTATCTAATTTCCGGAACCCTCCGCTCCACCGACGCAACGCTGTGAGCTAGGCGGACAAACTGATTGCGTTGGGAAAGCCCTCCACTCGGAGGCGAGCAGTCGACCGGCGAGCGCGAAGAGGAGGGGCAGAGCGGCCCCACACCGCCCCGCAGCGTTCGCTCAAAAAAAACCCAAACGCGGCCTTTACGTACCTCTGGCCACGTAAATCGTGGTCTCCAGAAACGTCCGCGGGGCTACGTTTCCAGAATGAGCTTGGGTTGGTTTTAGCCCCGATTTTGAGTTGCGGACAGGTTTTGAGAAATCGCCGTGAGTAACAATCACAAAGTGTGAACAGGGCCGGCGCGTCCATAGAGGCGACCTAGGCGGCCACCTAGGGCGGCAGTATAGAGAGGGCAGCATCCGCGACACCTCCCTTACCACCCGCGTCCTCAGTTATGTCCGCGACACCTCCCTCACCACCCACGTCCTTAAATATATTCGCGCATAGACGACAGAATAGAGAGGGCGGCGTCAGCGTCACCTCCATCAGCACCCGCATGTCCTCAGTTATATCCGCGCATAGGGCGGCAGATTTCTCGCGTCGTTTCCACGTCACTTAATGCGTGTGTTTGATTATGAGACGTAGTTTGTGGACCAAGACAATGTTGTCGGCGATTCTTCCTATTGTGAATTCATGCAGTGTGAACCCTTCCGTCGCTGATCCAGTCATGCAGTGTGAAAACATCTGTGACATGGCTACTTTGAAAATCCTGCCGTCTGAACTCAGCAGTATGCTGCGTTCACACCAGATGAAGCATCAAGCGTGAGTGATTTACATGTTAAGTCAATGCGATACGCTTGAATGACGTGCCGTGAGTTGAGGTTGAGTTTGACTTGCTTTAATGCGCGAATAGAATCAGCAGACTAAGCCCTGCGGTAACCAATTAGGAGCTTTCTCTTGTTGGGGCATGAATATGTTGTACCGCCTGTTGTTGGTGTCTCGAGGGGAAATCTTCTTGCCGGACAACAGTTGATTAAACTGGGCTCGGCTCAGTCTGAAGCACCGCTGAAAGCCTCCATCATCCAGGTTTAGTTTCTGGAGGAGTTTATGAACTCACAGAGCTGCCTTCACCTCTGAAAGAATCCAGTGGACGCAGACATGGTGCTGAACAAATATATGCTGTTTTTCAGCCTTCCTAAAGCACATAATCGCAGCTACTCTCTCAATAAAATCCATTTTAGCCATTTAGCACCGAAGCTAGAGTCACTGGGCAGACAGAAGCCCTGTCCATGGCTCAAGTCTGGGTCTATTAAGTGAATTTGATGCACGAATGAAGCGAGTAAACGGAACCTGTGCATGCGTCTATTTACGTGCAAATATTGCAATTTATTCACGCATTCTGCGCCTGGTGTGAACAGCATTAGTCAGGACAAAATGTGCTAAGAAACCTTTTACAAATAAAGTCTAGTGACTTTTATTATGAAATGAAGAAACCAAAAATAAATGCAATTCTGTCAAAATGCTAGAAAAATAATACTAATAAATGGTATCTAAAGCAGTTTAAATATGCAGTATACATAAATTGCAATCGCAAAAAGCAATTGGTCAAAGAGAATTTGCTGGCATTAATTATAAAAGTGAGTTTATACACATAAAAAGCCTAAAAAACACAGGTGTCTACTATAAAGTTGCATTCAACTTTTGTGAAAATGTGGGAGAATGCTCAGATATATTTGAAAAAAAAAAAAAAATATATATATATATATATATATATATATATATATATATATATATATATATATATAAAAGATGCAATGAAAAGCTTATTCTGAGTCTGACGTACTTGAAACGTATATAACAATAAATATGTTTGTATTTTATATGAAAAACTCAAAAAGGCAAAGTCTACTGGTTTGAAGGATCGTAGTAAATTGTAAAGATTTCAAATGAATATTTTCCCTTGAAAGATTTCTGGACGTATACAGTAAGTAGTCATAGTAATGAGCTGTCATTTAAAGACTTGGTGCTTGAAACTCTTCGTCTTTGACCCATATGCAGATGAAGTGTGTGTGAAACCTTGATGCTTCTGATATGATCACTGATGTATTTCCACTTGCAGAACTGAAGAGTCTGCAAGGATTATGTTTGTTGCCAGATCCAATCCCCTATGCATATGGATATGATTTTTCCAGCACCTCTGTCAGGTTTCATCAATGTTCTGAATGTGTTTGTGTAGTTTAATTAAGGGTTTCTCCGTGCTCCAGGCGTCTGCCTTCAGATGAGTTCGGTTATTTGTTGCTCTGTTGTGGTGTGTGAGGCAGTGGTTGCTGGGCTTTATAATGCAGCTGAAGGATCACAGGTTGTTGGCTTGTATGATCTGCTGTAAGATGCTGTCTACATCGATTGTGTCGTAGCTGATTCCCTGCATATCCAGATTCGGCAGGATGGAGGACAATAATGAGACCACATTGCGACGGATGGACCGCAGCCTCTCCAGCGTCACACTGCTGTCAGGGAGGAACAACAAACATTCAAATATATATAAATGTTTGGGGTCTACTATTTTATTGTTTTTTCAAACTATATTCTCTTCTCCAAACTGCAAGACTCTCATATTGTAAGATATTACAATGTGAAAAAGTTTTTTTCTGTTTAAATGTACAGTGGAGTTCAAATTACTCTCTCCGACCTGGTAACTCTCACTGATCTGGTAACTCTCACTGATTTAGTAACTCCCAACGATATGGTACCTCCAACCAATCTGTTAACTCTTACTGATCTGGTAACTCACACTGAACTGGTGACAATCTCTACTGGTAACTTCAACCGTACTGACCTGGTTACCTTGGTACTGACCAGTCTTACTTATTTGGTAATTCCCACTGACCTGGTGACTCACTCTGATCTAGTAACACTCCAACTCCAAGCGATGGTACTGACACTATAACCCTGGTACTGACAGATCTTTTCTGGTAAGTCTTAGTGATCATATCTAACTCTTGGTGGTCTGGTAACTCACTAATCTGGTAATCCAACCACTCTGGTAACTACCACCGATCTGGTAAATCCCACTGATCTGTTAA